TGTTTGATTGGTTTTGGGGCGATTGTATTCGGAGTTGTTCAAGAGCAGACACATGTTGGCATGGAATTAGCTGACCGGTATTACCACTGAAACAGTGACCCCTGCTGGCAACCTTGGCGAATGCTATGCTGCCCTTCTTATAAGTTGCAAGCTGATGAGCTGATTTGATGGCTGAGCAGGTCAGAGGAGCTTCTCTGCCCTTCCTTGCTCTTCCTGCAGGGATGCAGGAGTCGGTACGGTGACCTGAGAGTAAAAAAATAACTGTCCTAATTTTTAAAAACGAAGAGAAGGATGGGTTATGCATTTTCCCCTTGTCTCCCTCAGGTGAAGAAGAACAGCTCTCCACCCCTCTCTCTGTACGGGCAGCTCCTGTGGCGGGAGTTCTTCTATACGGCAGCTACCACCAACCCGCGCTTCGACAAGATGGAGGGCAACCCCATCTGCGTGCGCATCCCCTGGGACCGCAACTCCGAAGCTTTAGCCAAGTGGGCCGAGGCCAAGACTGGTTTCCCCTGGATCGACGCCATCATGACCCAGCTCAGGCAGGAGGGCTGGATTCACCACCTGGCCCGGCACGCGGTGGCCTGCTTCCTGACCCGGGGGGACCTGTGGATCAGCTGGGAGGAGGGCATGAAGGTACTGGCTGGACTGCATAGGGTTATGGGAAATAGGGGTACCGGTATGGTACCTTAGTCCTGATCTTTGGGGGAGGCACAAGGCTTTGTAGGTCTCTTTAAAGTTTGACCAGTAAGGCAACCATGACCACTTCATCACGTGGCAGAACACGTGTCAATGCGCTGCTAGGGCTCTTGATTGGCATCATTTGACCTTCGATCTTGGCATCTCCTGCAACTGAGGTACCTGCAGGCTTGCGGTGTTGTCAAGGAAGTATGTGCTGCTCCTCACATTTTTAAGAACACAGCTGTAAGGCACTTTGGGTTTTGCAGAGTGCAATGTGTGGGCTGGGTGAAGTCTCTCATACTGCATATTCATCGCTGCTGTCAAGTGAAATGTATGAGAATAGTCTGTTTCTAAACCAAGTGGGTATAAGTATATAGTGGGTATATATATCTAATGAAAATCAAATAACTTCATTTCCACTCAGTGAAGTTTCCTTAGTTTCATACGTAGAAGGTATACAGTCAGGACCTGCATAAATCTTAAGCATTCAGAAGTCTCATAGAAACGGGCTCAAATCGAGAGGAAACCTTTCATTTTCACATTAAAAAGCGTATCCGTGTCTGTGTCCACTACTGTCTTAGCCTGAGCTACAGGTGATGAAGTAAGTTATACATCGCTTAGAATATTTCTGTGTAACATGTGAAAGTTCTTTTTAGGCAGCAAACAGTGGATGATTTCTATAAAATCATTACCAGCTCAAGAACTCTGGAGAAGGACTGTCAGTCCAGTTTACCCTGAATTGGACACATGGAGGGGTGGCACAGTGGCACAGTGGTTGGAATTGTTGCCTCTTGGCACTGGGGCCCTGGGTTCAATTCCAGACGTAGGGTGCTATCTGTGTGGAGTTTGTATATTCTCCCTGTTGAGAGATGTCCGGGTGCTCTGGTTTACTCCCTCAGTCCAGAACATACTGGTAGGCTAATTAGCTTCTGGGAAAATTGGTCCTAATGTGATTGTGTTTGTGTGTCTGTGCCTGCATGTTGAACCTGTGATGGACTGGCATCCCGTCCAGGTTGTACCCTGCCTTGTGCCCATTGCTTGCTGGGATAGACCCCAACTCTGGCACAACCCTGTATTGGAAGAAACGGTTAGAAGATGGGCAGGTGGATAGGCGCATGTAGGGTTTTCCAATCCATCTGAAGCTTTTAAGGAGTACTTTAGACCTGAATAGCAGACCCCAGGATTAGGCTGGGGCCACATGTTTTATGCACCTAGTTTGGGAAAACAACAGTCTTTACACCAGTACTGTAGAAAGTCACCTGTGTCCCTTTCATGACTGCAGCTCCTTGAGAGAAATGGGTTTTACTGGCCATGCTGCCCAGAGATGGATGATCTTTGCGAAGGAGAGTGATGGAAGGGCGAGGGTACCCCATCTCCCATGCCGTGGCAGTAGCTCCAGTATTGGGGACCTCTGTGTGAGCCCTGTTTCCTCCATGTTGCCCCCCCCCCCCAGGTGTTTGAAGAGTTGCTGCTGGACGCAGACTGGAGCGTGAATGCTGGGAGCTGGATGTGGCTGTCGTGCAGCTCCTTTTTCCAGCAGTTTTTCCACTGCTACTGTCCCGTGGGCTTCGGGCGCAGGACAGACCCCAACGGCGACTACATCAGGTGGGTTGCTTTCCCTTCGGACGTACGGAGTCCACCCGCCTGCTTGTACCTGCACTGCTGCTGCTCGCCACCCGCCGCGGGACTCGGCTTCGGGCGTCCAAACAGCACCTCCAGCCCCCCACCGCCACCGCCAAAAACCGCCACCCGACCAAGCACACGTTGGCAATCATACGTGCTCCTGCAGCTCGACAAGCACCACGCGAGCCTGCGCTAGAAACACAAAATCTACTCCGCTTACCTGCATCGGAGCAGCCGAGCCGTTTTAATTACTGTAAACGACGTGCTGAACAGCTAAGCTGTCCTGTGTGTGTCCGGTTCAGAAAAGGGATCGTTTTACCTCAGGGCTGTGAAGGACAGGTGCTCGTCCTGGCAGTTTCAGTTGCAAGATTTTTTTGTTTGATGTTACAGGTGACACAGTGTGGGTCTTTTGAAATTGATTTTTTTGGGACGTTCCACGCGTTTCCAGTTTCCTCCGCTTGCAACAGTTTGCAGTTTGAATAAAAGGGGCTAGTCCGTTATTCGCTTTATCTTCCAAGACATGCTTTTGTGGAAGCACATTTTGCGTGTATTTAGGCTAGAGGTGTTTGTCCGAGCTACTGTGAGGGAAAAACAGGAAAGACTAGTAACACAAACTCATTTGTCACACTTTTCTGGTGCAAGTCTTGTAGCGTTCCACCTGAATTTAATCATTCGTGACGCAGCTGAGCGTTAGGACTAAAGATTTTTGAATCGTGTAGCTGTAAATATTTGTAAACGTGTGGCAGCTACAGAGGTTGTTCGGTGCACTGAAAGTTGCTTGTATCGGAGGAGAAAGTTCTAAGGAAGGGGGTTATTCTGAGCAGAGGAATGTGAGGATTAATGCTCTTAAATGTCAGTTCTGTATAGGAAGCACCTGCATACTAAGAAAAGTTGGGGGTCATTTCGTTTACATTACAAATCGGACACGGGCTTTAAACTCGTTTGAGGAACTCTTGTTAACAGTATGGGATCGCCAGGTATCCTTTAACATACGAATCGTTTTCGTCATTGGATCACATTACAGAGTCACTCATGATACGAATGCAGTCTGTCGTGGCTGTGGTGCAGTAGGACCTTCGGCTCCAGTGAGGGAATAGGGGCATTTCTAAGCAGGTTTTAGGAGGACATTTCCCCAGACTCTGGCTTTGAGAGCGGAGAAACGGCGGCTTGTTCCTTCGGCATGGAAGAGCAACATGCCAGAGCCACTGGGAATGTCGCGAGCCCCTGTGAGCCTGAGAGGACAGTGTAAGTGGAGGTCGCGCCAAGGTAAGTGCAGCTCAGTGTGTCTTACAAGTGTGTGTGAAGTCTGTGCAACCACACGGAAACTACACACCAAAACGGAGTCGGTGGTGTTACGTAAAGGAACCCACAGAAAAAGCTCAAGTCCACTGTTCAGTGAGTGAAGAAGCACAAATTAAGCTGAAATCTCTGGTGCCAGGCTTAGTCAAATCGCTATCTTTTTCCCTCTTAACATTTTTTTTTTCTTGTAAAACCTTGATTTTATTCAGGTTGCAAACATACTTAAAATAGGACCGTAGGCAAGGCTACTGAATTATCGGATCTCAAGCATCTAAGGAGCTGACTTGGGGCCTTAACCCTTAATGGCCTGAATTCTTGTTATTGTGTAAGTTGTAGGATTTCAGAAATCATACTTTTTCTATTGGGAGGACTTTCCCAAAAGGCCTCTTGCCCACGAAGGCTTAAAGGTTAACTGCCCAAGCTAATTGACAACACTTACTCATTTTCCAAGAACAGTTTGGCTGATAAGCATATAAGGACCGATTTTGTATTTCCATTTTGGATGGCTGCTGTAGCCCAGCCAGTAAAGGTGCTCACCTGGAAATGCAGGTTGAGTTCTCGGGGTTCAGATGCCACAGGTCCGACCCCGGGTCACGTCACTAGCTGACTGACCAGGATTCCCAGAGCAGTTGGGCTCAGGGCCATTTAGCAAAGATGGATATCGGTCAGGCAGACTTCTCACAGATCTCTGCGCGGAGACCTCCTGCAGCCTGCAGAAGGGTGTCCCTCCAGTTGGGCGCTGGCAAGCTTCACGGTTCACCATGCAGTGAATAGATCTGCAGTTGGGCATGTCGGAGGAGTGTCTTGTTCTCTCTTGTGCAGGCAGTGGGAGTCGATACCAGAGAGCCATGTCTTCAAACAATTGCAGATTCAAATTAGAAATAAAACTGATTCCAAATAAAAATTAACAGAAGTATGCATTTATAAGAGCTGTTAGGGTTAAATCTAAAAGCTTTATTTTAGAATAATCATCATATAAGAGTTCATTTCATGGTATCAAAACTCGGTGATCTATTTGGTTTTCCCTGTGATGGTCACCTGAGAGACCATATTAGTTGCAGCAAGTAGCTTTAGAATTTGGGTCCGTGAGGGACTCGATAAAGGTAATCTACTACACCACTGTACTGACAGCTCATTTCTGCTGTTCTTAATGTGGGGTTCTGGGAATGAGTGAAACGTTCAGCTTTTCCCGTCTCCTGTTAAATTGTAATTGGTTGCTTTTAGGACGAGAGCTATTCAGGACTGAAGCTTATGGAAGCCTGTCAGCCGTGAAGCAGGTTTAAGCGTTTTCACTGCACAATGCGGTGGTCTGTTCTTGAGGTAAAGTGGTTTCTTGATTTATCGAAAGGGATTTTAACTGCTTGGTGAGGAAGTGAAAAACCTGCCTTCTCGAGAGAGAACACAGGGGGCTGAGGTGAGACAAATGAGCCTGGCACGAATAACACTGCAGTGCTTCTTTTTGTGTGTCTGGACTGCCTTTTTAAACTATCATAAAGGTTTATGTAAAACTAGCGGTGTGTATATCATTTTGCTGAATTGTGGCTTTATTGTTTTAGGGATATATGGTGATTTATGAATAACGTTGCCTCTTAGCCGAGTTCGAGTTGGCGGGTTTGGAATATTCCCAGCAAAAGGGTTCCGGTCCCTTTCGATCAAACAAGAGGCTATCCAGCCGCAAAAGCAGACAATTGCATTACACAGCAAAAGCGCTCGACTGGTTTCGCGGTTAGCAGGTTTCTGTGCTTGTGTTTGTGGATCGCTGTCGTCTCAGAAGCGATCAATGACCGTTTTAAGGGCTTGGAGCGAACCTGAACCTCTTACTCAGCCCTGAGTTTGGATTGGGTTTGGGTGGGGGTGGGGGGACGGGCTGGGGGGGTTCACTTCCTCTTTGCCTTGTAACACGTTGTTAGTAGGATCTCCGTAGCCCTCAAAGCAGACAGGACTTCGAGTTTAAACCTCGCCTTTCGCCGCTCCGCGTCACCACACAGCCACGGTTGGGGTTCTGGTAGGTGGACGAGTAGGTAGGTGACTTTCCCTGTTCAGAATTCCAAAACCGACCTTGATGTGACCTCACGCCCAAAGCTGAGTGCCCTGCTCCTAAAAGCTGTCACACACAGGATCCTTCTGACCGTTTCACTTCCATAGGTCCAAACTGGTGAGTTCTTGCCATAGTGTGTCAAACCAGCCAGTCAGATGGCAGTAAGGCTGTGATGTAATGTTCTGGATTCAGAGTACGTATACTGCACACTAGTTGGAGAAAACTGGAGCAAAATCTCTAGTCAATTTTGCAAGTACCTGCTGTAAAATAATGGAATCTCTTGCATAGATGCAGGACTAAAAATACAGCAACTTGAAACTTCTGAGCACAGAAAGAGTATCTTGCAGGCAATGTTGACTGCGATCTAGAGAGCAGCGACTGAATGGATCCGGTGTGCGAGGGCCTTCACTAATGCAGTAGTACTGCTGAACTGGGCTGTCCAGAATAGCTTCCATGGTTTGCTGAATTTCATATGTTATGTAATGCTGATTTCACCCTTACATTGCACTTAAAAAAAAAAAATCTCAAAGCGGACAATGACTTTTTCAGCACGTGGGCCCGGATTCACGCAAATGTGTGTGCGCCTCTGGTCTCTGGATTTGTGGTAGTGTTCTCCTGCTCCCCCAATTGCTGTGAAATTGTGCTTGTCCAGACTTCCTTTTTCAAACCTGTCCACTAGTCCTCAAAAAATGCTGTACATCTCTCCTCTTGTGCCCATCCAAATCCAATCGGATAGTCCCAGGTGGAGCAGTTTACCCCTGGAGAAGGCAATGACGGAAAGCTTCAAAGGCGTTGATTTGCCTGTTGGTCCCAGCTGTGAGAGGGATCTTCATTTTCCTTAATTGCCCATTAGGTTTGGTTAGATTGTGTCCCTTCATACTCCCGGAACAGGCATACTATAATACTTGGTGAAAAGGGACTTATCTGCAGGTTCAGATATGCAAGTAAGAATTGCCCTGACCCTTGCTAGGAACAAGTAGATTTCAGATTCATGAATGTTAGGATAGAAAAATATTAATTATGCCCATCTGTTCGGCAAGGTCTAGGTCGGTTGACAATGCCCAGACTGAGGATCACAGTCTTGAATAGCGATTTTGGCTGCAGTACTGCTGTCAGTCCTCTATAATTGACAGCAGTAGAATGGCTGTCGGTTTGGCAATGGTTCCTCGGGGTCTGATAAATGAATGAGCTGAAGGTCTATATCATTTTCCTCTATTCTTGTAGCAGTTTTCAAGGCTCTTGTCCTGAAAATTCGAAATTTCATGTCTCTCGCCATTCTTCATTTAAATGGGTTGTCGGTTGCTAAGCTCCAAAACCTGGTAAACAAGGTGCCGATGTCCTGACCTGACTTGAGCCGCAAACTTGGGAGAAAAAACTTTTTTTTTTAATTGGCCTGAAGTTCTTCATTGTAGACCAATCAGCTCTGCAGCAATTACAGGAGACATGAAAACACTACTTAAAATCCCCCCACAGGCGCAAAAACGTCCTGTGTGAAATGACGAGCCTGTTGACCTTAGCCTTGAGAGGCGGTTATGGGGACGAGAGAGTATGATTATTATTGTGTCTGAGTGCAGCTGATTTGCCTGATCCAAGGGCTCTGCTTCGACACAAAAGTGGAACATGTAGCCTCCCCAGATCACAGAGCAGATGGGTCTGCCTACGCTGGGTTCTCAGTCACTGTTACAATATTTCCATTAATCAGACGGAGGCTGAGGAGAGAGCTGGTGGCTTAATTAGAAAGCAGACGTCTGAAGGCTTAAAAGCCTTGTTGTGAGCTTGCAGCATTGGTTATGATGACGTGAAATGTTTGTTGCGTCTGCACCAACTTTATTCTTATCTTGTGTAGGAGGAAGAATTCGTGGGAACTTTGCAGATTTTTTTTCCTTAACTTTGTTTTTAATGAAATGGCTTCTTTCTGTTGAATGCCTTCCCCACAGTGGAGAGAATGTTAGGTGTCATGCTTAAATGATTGCAGTCCTCTTGTATTGCTTTAGTAATATCTGACCACAGTGATTCTCTCTGCATTGATATTCAGTATGGTTCTGGGCTTTCCTGATGAACAACTTACTTGAAGACCATTCACTTATCTGTCTTTTCCTCTTGCAGAAATTCGTTTTTTTTGGTAAATTGTTCCTGTTTTTATTTACATCAATAATGGTCTCTGACTTGCTGGAATATTAGACTGCACACTGGTGGCAAGGTACTTGGATAGGGATGTGGGTGGTGTAGCAGAGAGGGATAAAGTGTCCCCCATCACCCCCCAGCCCAACTAAGGATTGCCTTTACAGTGGACAGGAGGTTTCCATGTCCTTGTGTAATCTGCTACCAATCCAGCACCAGCTAAAACTGGTCTGCTGTGCTGCCTGTCCCTTTGGCTTTGGAGAAGAGCATTTAAAACTGAGGGCAGAAGTTACTTTTTTTGCACTTTTGCACTTTTTTTTTGAGTTGTTGGAGTGTGGTACAGGTTTACTAGTTGCAAACTTCAGATCCTAGTATTGCCAGACTCAGGAGGCCGGAGCTCAACTCAAGCAGTCTCTGCCCCCTTCCCCATTAAGCTGTGTATGAGCTACAGGAGTTTCATACCAGTGCTGAGGGAATTTTCCTGTATTGATATATGGTGGTCATCATGACTTAGACCTTGGGTTTTTAGCTGTGAAGCCCCTAGCTACGTCACATCCTACCTGGAACTGCAGCTAAGGAGCAGCTGGTAGCCATGCTGGTCCACCTCGTCATGAGCTTCCTGTTGGAAGCACTTCTGCTGCAACAGGAATACGTCTGGGAGACCCTTTCCTGTGAGATTTCTTTGCCCAGTGCCCCGTATCTTTTATTCATTCCTGCAGCACCATGACCCAGCCCTGGGTGTCTTTCTGTTCGGCCCACACACGAAGCGGAGTAGCCCAGCTGGACTGGACACTGCCCGATAAACGCCCTCCACCAAGCTGCCCACCCCCAGAGTTCTGAGCATCTGTGGTATTTATGATGAGACTCTGCGGTTTAATCTCTCCCTATGCTTGCAGACGATATTTACCTGTTCTCCGAGGTTTCCCTGCCAAGTACATCTACGACCCCTGGAATGCCCCGGACTCGGTGCAGAACGCAGCCAAGTGTGTCATCGGCGTCCATTACCCAAAGCCCATGGTGAACCACGCGGAAGCCAGCCGCCTGAACATCGAGAGGATGAAGCAGATCTACCAGCAGCTGTCTCGGTACCGCGGGCTCGGTGAGAACCTCCGCCATATGCCTGCCCTTGCCTCACCCCCTCCTCTTGAGCGGCTTCTCCTCATGGAGACGGGACTCCCGGCGCGTAGAGATCCGCTCTCGTCTCCACAAGTGCAAGGAGAACCTCGGTTGTTTGCAGATTTCCAACGCCTTTCTCTCTAGAGCTCAAGTCGTTTTTGATGGGTTTGTGCTTTTTGCAGTCTTTTCTATTACAGCACTTGGTTCATCTGGTTTAAATGGCACCGCGTCTGTTTCGAGGTACTCGGTAGCTTGTGTGAAATCCGAGGCTAGCACCTCGTGCCGGAGGCTTGTGGGACACGATGCTGGCCACACTGATCTGATCACGCTTTGTCTCTCCCTCCCCCGGCAGGCCTGCTCGCCTCAGTGCCTTCCAACCACAACGGCAACGGGAACGGCGGGATGATGGCGTACTCTCCCGGGGAGCAGCAGCCTGCCCACGGCACCACGTATGGTGAGTGTCCCTCCCCCTCACCCGTCACAGGGAGAGGAGCTGTCCACTCGATAGAGGCTCGAGATGCCCATTGATGGAAATGTCAGTCCTGTTCTGGCTTGTAAAAAAAGACATGGCGTGTGCAGGATTGTACATCTGTGCAAGCTTGCGGTTCACTGCAGTGCTATTTTACTCTTGTGTTTTGCATTAATTTCCCTTCACACCGTGTCCTCTTATGGTAGGTCCTTGTAAGAAAGTAAAAGCAAGGTGCAGATGAATTATGCGGGGTACTGTGTAGAAGGCACAAGCTACGCTAGTCTTTAGACACTCAGAAAAACAATTGCATTAAATGCATAAGGACACAGATGGAGAATTGCTCCGGGCTTTGGTGGTGCCCAGCTTGCCCTGACTAGCTCTGCCCTACCTTGCTCTCTCCACAGGGGCAGCGCCAGGCAGTTCTGTAGCAAGTGGGAACGGAAGCAGCAGTATTCTCTTGAACTTCGACGGTGAAGAGCAGCCCGGACCAAGTGGAGTGCATCATGGTGAGGGCGCAGCATGCGGTCACACCCTCGCGAGCGCGCTGCTTTTCTGTTGGCATTAACGTCAAACGAATGAAGTTTGTTAAATGGAATATGTCATGCTGCCTCTATTGGGTTTATTGAAAGGGGCGGTAGTGAAGGAAGTTACTTATGATACAGAGTGGACATACTGCAGTACAGAGTTTATGCTGCAGCTGTTGACTGGAAGTGTAAACCCGGGATCAGGTGCTGAAGCTGAAGGCAGCAGAGCTAAGCAGCTCTTTCCAGTGGGACTCACAGTTTGGCTTTTTTTTATATAGGCTACCACACAGTTTCTGAGCCTGGCCAGGGCAGTACCAGTCACCGCTTGTACCAGTCCAGCGGGTCCCATGAGTTTGCTGTGCCCCAGCACCCAGGTACGACCTTCTGCTTGCCCGAAGGAAAATTCAAATTCTGTTTCAGGTTGGCTCTCATAAGCTCTTCCACCAATGTAAGAGTCAGCTGTCTCGTTTTTCAAAATGTTCAGATAACCTGAGAATGAACATTTATCTTCTACATTCTCTTGTTAAACCTGCTCATGTTACAGTTCTGCAGGGTGGCTTCCCCCCCAGCTCCAGGCTCCTTGGGTTGATTACTGATTACTGAGGTAGATGCCCCACTGGCTCAATGGACTGGGTGCTTGTCCCTTCCAGGGTTTGATCCCTGGAAGAGATCCCAGGGTTTGAGAAAGGGAGTGGCTCATTTGGAGAAGAGTATGGATGGCATACATAGACTGCACTACCTTGTGGGGAAAAGGGGAGCAAAGCTGACTCTGGAGCAAAAGGGTTTGAAACTTGTGCCTTGAAAATAGCATTGTAGACGTGCACATCTCTGATATCAAGCAGATGTTCCTTTGCTTCTCTGGCAGCAGGAGCCCCTGCTAACATGCCTTTCATTTTGCTTTATTTTTGGGTTATTGTATTTTGGATATTGTATTGTAAGTGGGTGTGGGGGACACCTAGAATTGAGGTGTTCAGTAGTTAAGAGTGTGGTAACTACATACAGGGGGAAAAGCATACAAACCTGAAATAAATTTTGGGGAACAACCTCTGTGGCTGGGGCTTATTCCCTGAGCGTGGCCTTCTAGTGGGTGGGTGCTTCGGCGCCAGTTTGTTGGCATAAGGCAAGGGCCGTACCCTCTCTGACGCTTGCATGGTTTGGCGAGCAGGTCGCTGGGCACACGGCGGCGCCGGGGGCGGGAGCAGTGCGCCGGGAAAGCGGGAGCGAGAGACGGAGCGCGACGCGGCGGGTGACGAGGAGGCCCGCTCCTCCGCGCTCAAGGTACAGCGCCAGTGTAACGAGGTCAGTCCGCCCCCCCCAGGACAGGAGCCACCCGCTCCGTATCGGGCAGAGCGCGGGGCACGGGGTTGGCGAGGTGGGGGGGCTGGGGGAGGAGGGAGCTCGCTGCATTGCGCTGCTGCCCCCTCGGGGTGCCTCACCTGTGCAGGCCTCCAGAAAAAACAGCCTTCGCTTCAGCCACCTCCTCTGTTGGCATCCCGATACCGTAGCCTCCTGTTTCCAAGGAAGACCATAGCAACGATGTGTAAAATTTCACTTTCGCCTCAGAATTTCGAAACCGAAGGGAGGAAGGCAGCAGGTAGAAGTCCACAGCTGTGTAATGTTAAAGAAATGAGGCAGTAGGGCAAAAGTCTAAAGCGCGGTGTGTTGAGTGTAATTGCTTAAGAAGAAGGCTACCCTACTGACCTGCTGACAGCTCAGAATTGCTCCTTGTTTACCAGACGGGTCACCTGGGCTGAATGGTCTCCTCCCATTTTGTAATCTTTATGTTCTTGGGAGGCAGAGTCCTTGTGTCAAACACCATTAACAATCATGAATGAATTGAAAGAAGCTGAAAGTTTGTCTTGAGTATGGAGTCCATATTAAGGTACAAGGTACAAAATGCTTCTTTGAGGCTGTTAATTTCTCAGAAGAAAAAAAATGTTGTTCAAGATTATTGGGCTTTTCTTTGTGTTACATTTAAACCGTTCAAAAATATCTCAAGCTTCTCAGTGTCATGTTGTTGATAATGGCGGGGGTAAAAACCCAAAAAGGGCAAAATCATGCTGATTTTTCTGGTCAGAAAAACATTTAATGCACAAAGTATCAGTTTCTTGCCAGGAAGTGGCAAGTTTCCTGTTAATCTGTCTTTGCTGGAAAAACTGTGAATAGAAATGTCAAAAGCACCTTTTACATGCTGAAGATTTTATCATCAAGTGCTTTGTAGATTAAATTGCATTCTGTGGACAATTAGATTGAGGTGTGGGTTGTGAATTGGGGAGACATATGAAGCACAAACCTAAAATAACAGAAATGCTGGTGGTGGTGATCGGTTTTCTAACGAGTCTGTTTTTTGTCTTTCAGAAGAGTGAAGATCTGCAGGATGTGAACATGGCGTCTTACTGAGTTTCATCCCCTGATCAGCTAAACCTGGAAAAAATGAAAAAAAAAAACTTTTGTATATTTGTCTTATTTTTCAAGAAAAAAAAGAATGTCGCAGATAGTATTTAATATTCTGTACACTTTTGTAACAAAACAAATCTTTTTATTTCTCTGTGAAAACCTTGCTTTCAGAGATCTCTGAGGTCAGGAAACACTTTTTTTTTTTGGTTGTTTTGGAAACCCATGGATTCAAAGGTGAAAAGCTGTGACTTAGCTCTTCTTTGATTTTATTTTCTTTTTTTTTTACAAAATACGGTAAGCTTCTTGTGAAGCGGTGCCAGCAGTTAATGAGACCTCAGTAGACTGGCCCAAGACAGAGTAGAACTGTGAAGTCCTGTGTGTTATTTTTGTAGCAGGGTCGAAGCAGGAATCAAGAGTTTTCAAGGGAATCCAATGACAAATATGCAGAACATGTGTGCACCCTTCTTTCACTTGTGTCTATTTTGCATTGCATTTTTTAAGACAGTTCTTACACCGTGGTATGAGCGTGATTTCATAATTGACCAGCTGAGATTCATAGTTTATAGTTTGGGCGTCGGAGAGGAATGTGCATTGCGATAATGAGTAGGACAGGGTTTGAAATGGTGAGAAGAACCTCAGGCTGAAACCAGAGGAGGTGCTAAAGCCAGCGGGCCAGCAGCTAGAGGCCTGAAATGGCCACCTCGGCGTAAATATTTGTTTTGACCAGGAAATGGACTTTAATGTGATGGATACTTTTGTGAGATGGTCCTTCAATTCAGTGAAGATTAGGGGATCTTGAAAGGGGAAATTGATCAAAGTTTAACCGCAGGCAGTTCTTCTTGCCAGAAACTATACAAGCCATCGTATATCACATGATTACAATAAGCCCCCGTTCATACGAGACATTGCGCTTCTGAAAGATGTACAACTGTATTGGCGTTGTTCTTTTAGAAAACTGTTGCGTTCCTAACCAGTGAAGCTGCATACAAAAACAATCAAATGAATAAAAAGGTTGTGTAAGAAGAATACACTTTCATTGCTGGCATTAAAACCGTAGGACGGTGGTAAGCGTCAATGTAGAAAAATCTACAGGTAGAGTGGTCATACAGAAGTTGAAAAGCAGTTGCTATGCTGGTGCTGCCATTCAGCTGTCATTTTGTTTGGCTGAGGCCTGCTGTATGTGACTGTCTTGCAGGAGCTTGGTTTGTGCTGTCTTACTACTTGATTAAGGCACTTATGTACTGTATGAGCAAGTTAGTTAACGTTAGGTTTGTTGTTTGTTTTCTAATTTATTTATTTTTTGTTAGTACAACGGGATTTGGGTTGCTTGAGTTGTATTCAGCCACCAAAAACCCACACAGGACCTGCTGTCACCATTACCATAGCTATGATTTACATGCCGGGACTCAGAATCAGGAGGCAAGTGCTTGCACCAAAACTCAAAATTCAGCAGCACGTTTGCAGGGGTACATGCCAGATGAAGGATGAAGTGGCTTTCCAGTGTTATTGTCAAGGCTTCTTCATCAGTGTTCTTAATCGTCAAAGCAGAACAGAGCAGCTGAAAGGCAAATCTTCAAGCACCAGCAAAACTTGTCTATGTGGCCTGCTGATTGCAGGGGGTCTGAACAAGCTAGTCTGAGGTATTGAAAGAAAACTCTGTATCACTGCACACTTATGTATAGAGAGCAGGAAAGCTGAGGCAATTAAAGGTAGGAACCACCCTCTGAACTGATTTTCTTCACAAAACATGCTGTACAAACTAACTAAAATTTAGGCAATAACCTAAATTGGTCCCACAATTGCTGTTCCGGGAGGCAGTTCATTTCTATAGGGTACTGGGGAGAACGGAGGAAAGGGCACAAGAAAATGCAGAGATGTGTTTTGTTTTCTGCAGTCAGCTAGTGGGATAGCTGTATTAACCAGGAACTGAACTGGGGAGGTTATTGCTGATGTCCCTCCATTTGTATGAAAACTGAAGTAGTTTGCATTGCAAACTGAGCTATGGACTTGAAGCAGATTAAGAATTTAAGAGCTACTTGGAATATTGTACTGTATGTCTTCTGACATTTTTTAAAATAAGATGGAGAATGTGACTGCCCCTAAGGGGTCATTTTCTATTTTTAAATTTGTCAAAAGGTCATGTTACACATACAGTTGTGTAAATACATATGCAGTAATCTTTATTTTTTGAGGTTATCAAGTATAGGCTTTTTGTAGGATTAGTTTACTCTTAAGATGCCTCTCTACAGAGTACAGATGTCCCCACAGGAGCTCTGCCAGAGACTTAAAGATTTGCCTCACAGGAACATTACTGATTTATAAGCTCCCCGATTTTTCCACAACACCCAGTGCAACTATATACATAACTAAGTGCTTTATCTTCTGCCTTTTGCAGTGGATAAAGAAGTAATTTCAGGGTTCTTTTAAGAAGTCTCTTCCCACATGGAGTAGTGTAATTTGAACATTTTTTGTTTTCCCTGTGTTGAAGGTGTTACTGGTTCCTTGTTCTTTTCTGCAGCTTTTTTTATCGTAGGGAACTTTTGAAGAATATCTTTCTTAACTGTTGTAAGATGAAAAATACCAAGAGATTTATACTATAAATTACATTAAGTGCTATGTAATATAGAAACAAAACAAGTTGAAATGTAGCTGTATGATCAAGAGATCATGGCAAAAGTAAAATTCTGTTAGCACAGCAAAGCCAGGAAAAAACACAGCCAGAAGGACACTGATGCAGAGAAAATGGGAAATTGGTAAATGTGAGAACCATATTCAAGTTGATAAAAGCTCTGTATGGAAATGTCATTATGTTGTATGTCTTTAAATTGTCTTACTGTCTGGACAGTAGATTAGAGTATGTTTTAAAAAATTAGTCTGTGTGTTCTATTTTAAGAAAAACATTTCATGTTGTGAAGGAAGTCACTTTTCACCTTTTGTTTCCAGAGAGATAAAAGCAGCTTTTTATAAGCAACAAAAAATTTTGAAATGAAAGTTAACTTGCACCAGTGTCACTGTAACACATTATTTAAAAACTAGGAAATTAAAGTGAATTATTTTATAATAAAAATAAAAGTACCAGAAATGTTTTCAGCAACTAAGAAAAAAACAACAAAAACTGTCCAATCTGGGAGAACAAGCTTTTAAAAAAATAAGTCTCTTTCCATAGCATAAGTGTGGTGCTCTGTTTTTGTTGCCCTTGACGACAAAAAATTCTCTAATTTGAAATGCTCCCCATTTTTATTTTTTTGCTCACAAGTGGTATTATTGAGCAACATTCAGTCTTTTATACAGTCTATACATTATATAAGAGAGATCACTTTTATTAGCCATATACAATTTCTTGCATTAGGAATTTGTCTCTTCGCATACATCAGCTTGCTCTCCATGAGAGACACAGGCACACAGACAGGGAGAGAGCCCAGGGTCAGCCATTTATGCGGTGCCGCTGGAGCAGCTGGGGTTAAGGGCCTTGCTCAGGGGCCCAACAGAGTAGGATTCCTCTGCCTGCCGTGAGATTTGAACCAGCAACCTTCCAGCCACAGGCGCAGATCCTTAGCCACAGTGCCACCACTCCGCCTGGTATTGATGTAGGTCATCATACCTTCATTTGTTTTTAATTGCCAGTTGTTACTGTGGTGGTATAATATAAAACCTAGCATGGTGTTGATAATGAAGATCCAGTCTTTTTTAGCCTACCTGAACTTCTTGGATGAGTTGGACTTACGAGGGTTTATTTAAAAAAAAAAAAATCCCCAGGCTTCTTAAACATTGCATTCATACAAGTATTTACTTTTTGTTCCATGATGCAACATAAATTTGAGTATAAAGTCTGGCTTGCACTATGGTCCAGCTCTGAAAAGTTTTTTAAATAAAAATAACATATCAACTTTATTCCATGCAGTGAAAAAGTAAGGTTCCTTCATTTCTCCTTTAATTCATTATTCATTTATACATTAGTGAGAAAAATGAAATTTGCATGAAGTTATCCTTAATTTTTAGTTCTAAGAGTATAAGTATATAGTTCATACAAGATGCTACTGTACGTAGCGAAAATTATATAAGCCAGCCAGACATACAGGTGTAAACATAAAATCTGCACACTTCTCCTTTTGCTTTGATCTTCTCCCAAGCCACCTCTTGGACGATAGGAACATGTACAGATCCAGTATGCATGAACATCTGATCTGAAATAATAAACATTTCAAATACTGAAATTTAAATCACAGCTTCTGAGAAAAAGGTATTCTGATTTCCTAATGAAATTTTGTTTTCAGAGTATATCCCTTAGTAAAGATAACAATAGTCATCATCGGGACAAAGGTGGCATAATGATTCCGTTTTGTGTTTTGTTTTTAAGATTGAATTTACACAGTATTTCTTCAGAGGGCTGGAAAGGACTGAGCTTGAAGACATTTCTTGCTTTGGGCAGGCATACGTTCATGTCCTAAGGGGTGGTCACGTTGGTGGAAATACAAGCTCTGATAACGGAGTTCAAAATTGACCACAAGGCAAATTCTGCATTGTGAGGAGGGAAGAGTGTGCTATTCTTCATCTTCAACTGTATGTGCGTGGGGAGATTTAGGACAGGATGGTGTGTAACAAGTGAGACATGCAAGGTAGACAGTCACGGTAGAATGTTTCTGTGTCGTACTTCGTAGAGATACTGTATATACGTCTGCTTGTGTTATTGAGACTGTACCTCATTAATGTAGATGTTTCTTCTTAATTTCCAGAAACAAAAAATCTGAGCTTTTTTTCTTGATTTTATTTTCACTTCTTCCATTTCCAGAAGAAGCACAATAAAAACAAGAAATTATTCTACTGTGTAAATATGACATGATTCTCTGCCCTAGACTGTACTCTTGTCATACTATTGCTTAATCAGGTTGATGACACCAAAATAAAATTGTTGTAACAGCTGATTTGTCTTATTCCTTTATTTTGTAATTCATTAGGTGCCCAATTTTATTTGAAGATTATAACAAGACATGTTCATATATTCTGTGAAGTCCAGACTTTCATCACCTAAAATAATATGGGGGCATCAGTAATTTCTGTTAAAGAATTACTGGTCTATTGACACCTTTTCTGGCTGGTAAAGAGTAAAAATGCATTTTTAATTCAGTGTGGATATTTTCTCATCATGCTATTCCACCCTTCAGATAAATTATACGATGCTTGTCAGGGTGCGAGACTACTCAACTGCCTCTAGCTTCCCTGCCTGTGTGAATTGGATGACCAATTAAAGACGTTATCGGCCAAACAACTAATGAGGTGTGTCACATCACCTGTCAGGACGTGTTGGCTGAAAGGTCAAGTTTGAGAATCAAAGATAAACAACTTAAAAACATTACTGTGACAGCTAGGGCTCTTCATAAAAAAGACATTACAGAAAGCAAGATCCGCAATATCATTTCATCTGGAGTCAGTGCACAGCGAGGGTATTGTATTTAATAAATTGATAGTAATACAATAGTAGTAGAATAGTTTAATTAAAAGCAGTAATGTGTTGTCTGTGTATTAATTTGGGTTTTTGTACTAGATTTTGATAGAATCGTTGCTCTATTAATGATGAAAGTGAATGAAACCGTAAAGATATTTGGTATCTTATTTGTGCAATAGGCAGCAGAACTGAATAGTCCTGGTGTAACCAGTGTAGGTTAGCAGATGCATAGAAACGCTATGTGAGCAAAACGCACACATCGTAATCTGTGGATTTGATTTCAGGCGTCTTCCATGTCAGTACTGGCTAGGTCCAACATTGCTCAGATGCTGAGAGATGGTTACAGGGTGGTATAAATTGTTTAATTTATGGAGCTGTTTTTTCTCTGCACTTTCTATGTGCAAAAACAAAGTTACAGTGTAAATATGATAACCTTTATCATTTCTTAAAAACCTGGGTTCCTGGTTGCATGGTTGAAATGGCTTTTAGACCAAGTAATCCAGAGATAACTCTTAATCTATCCAGTCTATGATCTGACTGCGACCACAAATTTGGCTAGTTTGAGTAGACCTGTGTCTTGGTGCACAACAGTGACCCCTTGTGACACCTTTGAGCATAACATTGTCAGTGATGGGGTTACTGAATGGGTAAACTCTTAAAAAGCACACAGAGCACAGACTGAAGATTATTATTAAAATGTATTGTATTTCTATAGCACTTTTCTTCCCTATTTAAAGTGCTTATAGGTGGGGGCCCACTTCACGACTTTGTGACTAAAGCACAGCACCTACCTCGGTGACCTGTGACAGAGATTAATGAACCACCTGCCCCATTACACAGCAGGTAGAGAAATTAGAAATTGCTTCACAAAATGAATTATGAGGGACCTTTAGGGAGATTAGATTGTACATGCCCAGAAGTTGTGACTGAATGAGACTCAGTTCAAAGTCTCATCTGAGGTTCAAAGTGACACCTTCTACAGCAGTGAATCTCAGTCCTGATCCTAAGGGAGTTTTATGTCAGCTGATTTTCATTTTAAATGGGTCCTTAATCACCAGTGCTAATGTATGCCTGTAAATTATATGGTTGTTTATTCAGACTTTTTTTTTCAGAAATACCCTTACTATAAAGTACATTATTGACAAAAACATCAGCTAAAAAAATTATCTTTTCTTTTAAACTAAAAGGCTCTTTAGTAGGTGATAGGCCAGATTGTCAGATGAAGAAAGCTGCGAATGACAATTATGCATTAAACACTCCCACAATTAGTGTTTTGTGTAATTCCTATATATTTCAGCTAAATCTTGTTTAAGGAGGAGTTCAGAATTATTGGAATTGGCACAGAACTGATACCAGTTGCTATTCACGTACAGATTAAGAACAGATAAAAATGATGGCAAGCACTTTTCACTCTTATGCGGTGTGAAATCTTCAAAAAGTCTTTAAAAATGTTTACTACACTTGCAATCCTTCCACATTCCTGTTGGAGGCACTGTTGCATGCAGCAGGGTACCAACTTCTGAAAACCCACCAAATGTAGTTTTTAGTTCAGTCCCCAGTTTGTGTTGCTGAACAGAATTGTGGGCAATGTAGTCTTTTTCAGCCACTGGATGCAGGATGTTCATTTAGAGAAACCCTCTCCAGAACTACAACTCACAGAGTGCTTCTCTGCACAAAACAGCATTTATAACTCCACGCCAAACAGGTATTCAACCCCCCCAAAAGAAAGAGCCTTGGGATGAGGAGCTGCAGAGTGAACATCTAGGTATGTATCCTTCTGGGTTTTTTTAAGTGCTGTCTTCTTAAAGCAATATTTACAGCTGTGTGAGGCAACAGTAGCTCAAAGGTAGCTTTTTGCTGAGAAAGCTATTGATTTCTTTTAAAATTAAATTATTCCTGTGGCTCTACAAAAGCGCTGTGTCAGCGAGGCTGAGAAAGAAGGATGGCTGCTCACAGGGATGAATCTGCACGCATTTCAAATACCAATATAAAACACAGCAGTGTGTGTACAGTATACAGTATACATTCCTGAGGCTGTGCACTTCATAGTTAAATCAGTGGGGAAAACAGTCCTAGTTAAAATTCCTGTAGAAGGGGAAATTGCACTGTGTTATAAGTATAGGTTGTTTTTGGAATATAGTCTGACTTATTTTAAAGTGGATTGTATAGAGTTATAGCAGGGTCATCTCCTAGCTTCTGTGCCTTACAGATACAGTTGTATTTTTCTCACTTACCATTAAAGCTTTAAAGGGAGCCTGCAGTGAAGCCTGTGTTGAGCGCACTGCACTAGAATCCTAGACTGAGCCCATGATTTAGATTCTTTTTCCACATGGTTGGAAATGATTTCTCCTTGTCTGCGCCAGCAATGCCAACCCCTGCAGAGGCATGAGGTTGTACTTTTATCAGGCAGCTGGAATGAGACTCCAGGACACCCTCCCGTACAAACGCTCACTCTTTTGTGGCCAGTTGTCTTGCTCTGTCATCACTCCTGATCAGGGGATTAATCACAGTCTTTCCACCGCCGAGCGCCAGACCTGGTGGGAGACACTGTGCCAGCTTACAACAGCGCATTCTGAGGTGCACTGCTGCAGCTGAAGATTCTTAACCAGCCCTTATTAGACTGCATGGCTTGTCCTTCCACTATGTTAACAGGCAATACTTAAAGCAGGGAAAGTACATTGTGACTCTAGGGTCACAATCAAGCATGTCTTGTGAAGATTTTGATAAATGTATCAAGTCAGTTTATTCCTGTGAATTTTTTCATGGTTTGTTGTGATGTATAGTGTCCATATTCTGTTTCCAATTATTGATGACTGAATTTACTAATCCTCTCTTCATTTAAGGGTTCTGAATTGAGATGTGATAGCTATTAAGATAAGGGTGTTTAACCTTTTTCACTGGAGCACTACAAAAATATTGCTTGCCCACCAATGCTTAAATTAAACTTTTAGTTTTAATGTACTTGTTGGGGGGGCAGTTAGGATTATATTAGCATTACTGGGTGGTCATTGTGGCTGCAGTTATTCATTCCAACGCATTTATTCTTTTCCAATAAATATCCTTAATGCCAACATCTTTTCATTATTAGCTCAATTAAACTAATTAAAATGACCTGCAGACACATCAGATCTCTGGGACCAAGATCTGACAACCACAGATTAGATAACAGTTGCTTAGACCTGCAGGGTCCAAACCTGATCCTAGAAGGCTGGTGTGTTTGCAGGCTTTCTAGCTCTCTTCAAAACCCCAACATGTGAAGAGCTGTGACAAATTCATGAGTCCCCACTGAGCCAATAAACGAGTTAATTTAGGTCAGTGGTCCCCAATTCTGGTACTAGGGACCCACATAGCTGCTGATTTCCACTGCAGAGGAAGTGTTAAATGAATCCTTAATTGAACCAACAAATTGCTTGATTAGAACTTTTTATCCTCAAATGTTAAGTTAGCCTGTATGGACTTTGTACTGTATGTTTTCCCCATGTTTGCACGGGTGGGACAGCACCTTTAAAATGAGCATCTCAAAGCACTTGCAGGTGAATTGGCATCAGGGAAAACTGGCCCTACTTCGAGTGTGTCTGTCTGTGTCCTTCTGCCCTACAATTTTCTGGCATGTCCAGGGAGTACCCTGCCTTTTGCCCGCTGCTTGCCTGGACAGGCTAGAAGAATTAGAAAGGAGCATTAAATTACATTAAAGCATTAAATTAAGATGTGTTAAATTACTTACGAAGCACTCTAGTTAAAAAGCAAACTCCTTCATGTTTAGGAACTGCAAACAAATAGTTCAAATCAAACCTATTACTGTATGTTCATTAAGGGTTTAATTATTTGAGTGGTCGGGTGGGAAAAAAACAATATACTGATTATATGCAGGATCTCAGAAAAAAATGAAGTATGAATCTCAATCCCCTACCCAAAATGAAATCAACAAGCACAATTTTCTTCAAACATAATTCTTTATTATATTGACAGTAAACAAATCTTCACACAACTGTTTTAAACCTCCTGTATACACAATTGAAGATGGCTTGGCTTAAACAGTGTGCTCCTGCTGGAGACACGCAACATACAGTCTTTTCTGCATTCTGATAGTATATCAAAGGACACTTGCTACCAATGAAACCCGCGGACAACACATACTCAACAAAATGGCAGTCTGTAAGTAAATGAAAACTAAACAACTTAACACTGAGATGCAGTCTTTAAATAGAAAAAAAATTAACAAAAAACAGAGACAACAGTAAAGTGTTAGCCCTTCGCAACCTTCAAATATATATATTTTTTCTCTCTCAGAAATTAATTTTAAAACCCAATACATGTTTAGTACACCACTCACTGATGTGCAACCACTGGCACCAGGTGGTGATGAAGATCCTTTGCCCAACTTAAAACCCACACATCTGTGATTGAGCCTCGTTCACATCTCTAGAGAGGATAATAAACTGGTGCATTGCTTGTGCTTCTGAATTCCCAGTACATCCAAGCCTGGAGTGACTGTACCGTAAAACAATTTCAGTCTCATTCCCACAATCATCCTAACACTGGAAAAACACAAAAAAGAAAACTAAATGACACTATCCTATACATGCTCAAAAGAAACAGTTTACCTTCTATCTGTATTAATGTCGCAATGTCTTCAGTCTTTAAGGTAATGCTCTTTGGTGTCCAGATTTTTGTTCTTCACTCTGCTTTGTCTTTCCTCTTGCTTGTGAACGGTACTTTGCTGGCCACTGTCGAACCCACTGTGGACACGCCCCCGGCCACAGCAGACACGCCCCCCTTCACAAGGCCAACGCCCACTGCAGGTGCGGAGGTGACTGCCGATTTGGTGATCTCCAGGCCCTTCCCCCCCAGCCATGCCACGCCTCCCACTGTGGCACCCACGACGCCCTTGGTGGCGCTAAAAAGCCCGCCGGTGACTCTCCATATCATCCCTGGCTGTGGGGCTTGGTGCCCCTTCTCATCATCTACACAGAAACAATCACACAATATGAGCCTACGCATTTGACTTCCAGATCTTACATCTTCTCTTCACTGATCTTATAATGAATAGGGATGTCTTTTTCCACAAAGTCATTATACTAATATAACATGGATATTAAAATATTTTATGTAAAAAACAGGAAAATCAAGTTTTCACTGTATGTAAAGCTAGCAAGCACCACGGGGCGCTCTTAATTACTACCTAATACCTAGGGATCATCTTGCATAACAGCATTACAGAAAATGTACCAACAAACAAGGTGAAATGAACAAATAAAGGCACATTTTCTTACCTCCCACAGGTTCGTTAGCAATGTACTCTGTGATGCTATCCTCATAGCTGGGTCCCCGCTGGGTCTCTGAGTTCACAATCTAACAAAAAAATAAAGAGCCACAATCACAATGAGGGACGATCCTGTTAAATTACAGACACAGTATTTTTAAGGTACTGGGACCCTTTGCCCCCCCCCCCAATATAGCAATGTCTTGGAGACAGGAAATTTCAGTTCACATTGAATTAGATGACTGAAGAAAACAAGTGGAGGCCTTTCAGCTTATCTGGTCAATAAGCAGCTTCCAGGTCCACATCCCCAAATTGTCCGGAATAGCCACACACCAAGCATAAGAAAAATAATGAGTCAATGGAATCTACCTCTAGCCTTCAATACAATACAACAATGAAACAGCAGGTGCATTCATTCCTATTCCTGGAGAGCTACTGTGCCTGTAGGCTTTCAAAGTCTGTTTAGAATTCCTGCACCTGAAGACCCAAGGGAAGCTGTTAGATCAGTCCAATTAAGCCAATAACGAGCCGGTGCTGGTTTAGAATCCTAGCCTTCAAGGAACAGGACTGGAGACCCCTGGACTACTGGAATCCTTTTCTTATGAGACAGCAGCCAGTCTCCTGGACCTGGAAGGTGTCTCAACAGGTTTCAATTCCACCCAGAAGGGCTCTTAACATCCAAAATGAATTACTGATTTCACTGGACCAGTTTGCTAGCTTTCCCCAGCTCTTTTGGAGCTGGTGTTTTCAACAGGCGCCAGGCCTCCAAGTCCAGAATAGGGGACCTCTGATCTGAGACCTTCAATGACTCCAATGGAGGACTGTGTGCAAAATGTTGGCAGTGAGGAAGAAAGAGGGCAGTTTGTTTCAATCTTAAAACATTATCTCACATTTTCAGCAATTATTCCTTGTGTTTGAGAACATTGTATTTTTAACATCAGTCTGACGGTCCTACATTCTCTTAAAATTATATAGCATTTTCTTTGAATATTGTAAACTCTTTTAGAGTGGCTGAAGTTATACGTATCTTCTGCTTTGTTCGTCGTTCACTGCTATTGAGGCTGTGCTTAACTGAGCTTCTGTCTCAGGCTATTTTTAACTGGTGTATTCTGGTGTTTTCTAACTGCTCTGCGCTTGTGCTCGGTCTCCATAGAAATAAGTTAAAGCGCAGCCCTCTTTCTGTTCATCCCAGGAGGCGCATTTCCGACGAGAAAAGATATCTGGGATGAAAATGGAGATTGTGTAAGGCAGACGTCAATTGCAGGCTGGCGTCGTTAATGCAATTGCAATGTTTTGCTAAAAAGTTCACTTCTTGGCGCAAATTTTGCATTGCGATTGTGCAACCTATAGCGAGTGAAACTTGGTACTCTTAATTGAACTACTGTGCAATTTAAAAGTAATAGTGTAATGTACCACGTTAAATTAAACCCTTGCTTCAGCTGCACTGCAAAATCCACGTCTACACATTTTTTATTCGAATTTTTGGTTGCGTTTTTATGGTGTACCCTATAAGTCCCGTTTAGCACACGAAGACGCGAAGCTGCCCAGCCAATGTAGATACATTTATAAACAACATACCCAACAAAAACTCTATACACTAAAATCCAACATTGGGAATATTCAATATAGTGAACATATTTACTAACGTAAAGAGCATTTTATCAGTGCTGAAAATGCCTTGTCACAGAAATTTAATCTTTATATCGATAAATTACTGCCGAGTGATTCGTGGCGGCGATGTACAACAAATATCCTGGCTAAACCGGTTCAGAGCTGCCCTTTTTTTTTTAAGAGACAGCAAAACTTTGTGAGAGCGATACAGTACATCATCAATAAGCAGAATATGAGCTGTGACAAATGGCATTTAAACACTGCTGTCATTCTGGAATCTAGATTGTTCCTCGTAACTCCAGGAAGATCAGTCTTTAATCCCGGTGAAAAAGAACTGCTGTGATAATTAGAATGCGAACGTCGTGCTCCCCTCTTGGTAAAAAGCTTCGAGATTTTATTGCTACTATGACTAAAATCGAAATGTACAATGGCTGTAAATCCAGCTCCTTGCAGAGCAATGCCTTACATGAGCAAACAAAGTAAACTACATAGATCTCGTTAATAAAACCCGACCACGCGTCACACCATTAACTTAGTGCAGTAGTGCTAACCATTTTTAAACGAAGTAGGTGATCAAGCAACCCCTACCTTTACCATTGTTCCCAGAAATTTCACGATGCCTTCTCTCCCAACTCCTTAGTATCGCTGGCAGATCTTCTAGGACGCTTCGCAGACAGATGTGTTACGTGTAGCAACAGTCCCAGGTGAATCCCGCTGGCAATTTAAACCCAGCAGGGCTCGGGTACAGACAAACGGATAAAGCCCTTTATGTATACTTAAGAAAACAGCAGTAAAACAAAAGCGTTCAACTCCAGCGAAACAGTTTCATTCGCATTTGCGCTGGTATAAATGTGCCAGTGGACGCCTGCAACTCCGATTGCGCCTAAGTTTATAGTTTTTAGCCCCGTTTCTGCCAACGTGGCGCTGCTGCTCCGATTCTTCTCTCCGGATCTTGCGTCACCTGGAGCAGTTTTCTTGGCAGCGGCGAAGAGCACAGCTTCGCAGTTTTGTTTTTTTCCAAAAATTGATCCCGTATTCCACACCAACTCCGACATGCGTCATTCTAATTCATCCAAAAATAATCCTGTACCTAACCAGTCAATGTTGCTACTGGCAACATGTTTTGATTATTATCCTTTAAACTAACACGCACAAGATGAGTTCTGATTAACGATCAATATTGTTAAACCAAGATATTTCCTTTCCAAGAAATCATCATGCACTAGAGCATATTAGTCCTTTCAAATGTATAACAATAGTAAGCTTTCAAAATGCAATAGTAGTTGAATCCCCTTTTATTTTGTTAACCGTGTTCCCCTTTATAACGCCTAAATTGTATTGCTGTCTTCCAAAACGGAGGTTTATTCAAATAATGACACTGGAATTTAAGGATCCTAAAACTATAAATGTATACAACTGTCAAATCTAAACCAGTTTTATAAAAACTTGTCCGGTAATAGCACGCGAAGTTTATTAAAATTGAGTGATACCTCACACTCAGTCCCGTACGAGAAATTTTTAATAATTTGACAATTTTTCTATTTTTTTTTCTGTTAATACAAGCAAAAACTATTCTGCATTTTAAAGTTTTTCAGCCCTTACATCCTATTTAAACGAAGCCCCGCTCCCATGTGTCATCGCGGTAAAACAGCTAGGCGGGTAGTTCCACCGTTCAGCACCAGGGGGAGATTTCTTCGGGTGGAGCAACGTGTAATGGTAAAGTGTTTTTTTCTGTTAAAATACGTAAATGAATCGGTGTTTAGAAGTGATTATTTTGAGGAGGTGGCGTATCTTGCGAGATTTACCGCTGTGTTTTATAGAAACAAGAAAATAAATACCTAGGCTTGCTTATTCTGATTAGCTTCAGGGGGTTACAGTATATTTTAATTGTACGTGCACTTTTCAGACGATTTGTACTTACCGTAGAGAAAACCGGGCCGATGTTCCCGTCTGTACACTTGAGCTGTTAAACGCGAAAAACAGACAAAAAATCACGGAATTACGATCACAATCAAAGGCCGGAAGTAACCTAAAGTAAAAATAAATAACTAATAATATGTAAAGACAACTTACGTATTTTACCGAGTACCTTTACCTCACGAGTTCAAATCAATTAGTTTTTTGTAACCGTTTCGTAGCCCGCAGCTCAGTTGAAACGCTGCCACCTACAGTATATATAGTACAGTACACAGTAAATACTAATACATTAAATTAGGCCTAAACTGCACTTTCACGGCAAGTGCGATATTGTACAATATTTTTTTCAATGTCCAAGATATTCAGTCACAATTGTGTCTGGATCTCTATAATTCAGACACAAGCAAACAAGTAGAGGTCGAAGCTGAGTCAATATAGTAGTCATAAACACCAGTTGTTTTCTCTTCTCTTTTTTTGCAAACTGTGTAGGCTGTGGCCATGTCTGGGAAGGATGTTACTGGTTACCTTCAGCAGCAGCAGGAGGAATTTGGAAATACTGAAGGCGAAAGATGGAAGAAGCTGGAAACTATGTACAATAAGAAGTAAGAATCTCAACTGAAACAATGTCTTTGTGTTTACTGGTTTGTAGTTAATTTCTGTTGCCCTGTACAATGGTAGTCATTCACGTTGAAAGTTGTCATAAATACATCAGTGCTGAATAAAATGGAAAAAAAAATCACCATGTATATCGATTTTCTCGTACAGCAAAGAATTCCAACAACTGTTTCCAAATGTGTACTAGCCCTTTGCAAAAGATGCTATTTCAGTGGCGCTTGTAGTTAGTATTTATGTTAATTTTTCCCACATCTCGTTGGTCTAGCAAGCACTGTTTGTCAGTCAATATATTTATATTCCCGAAAATGACATGCACATATCATCTGTCAACAGTAGCTTGCGTTAGTTTATTGCTCACCTTGTCTACATTTGCCGAAATGATCAAAGTGGGACAGAAGCACGAAAAAGATGAAATGATGTTGGACCAATTGTTAATGTTGGACAGGGAAAGAAAAGAGAGGAAGTGAAAGAAGGAGAAAAGGGACAGAGTTTAAGAATGCTAAACACTACACCATTGTGGGTGAGCTCTTGGACTTTTAGGTATCAGTACAGCCAATACTGTTTCCAAGAACTTGTGTACAACAGTCCTATATTAAAAACTCTCATTTCTTTTTCACAGATTTTGGCATCAGCTCACTATGGAATTGCTAGATTTTGTTCAGAGTCCAGCATTCGCCACTGGTGACAGGATCATCAAGGTATGAAAATGTATTTTACATAATGGTAATCGGGTCACAGTCGAGCCCCAATCACTACCAATACTGGACAGCTAAGTCACACTTTGTTCCACTATAATTCTAGGGTTGTTCTGACATGCTTGTCTACCATGAACCTAAAGAGACACTTGACAAACATTTGGTGGTGGAGAGATATGAATAATTGTGCCAGTTACTGGATATTAGATGTGAGATACCCACATTGATCACTTTTCTCTTATTGTCCAACTACAACAGCTCAGTTACGAAGTCAGAGCTTGGACCATTGTGCAGACCTTTTAATGGGTGTGCAAACCAAACCATGAGGAAGATGTTTCTTGGACAAAGAGAACACCCCTCAGTAGATATTTATGATAATTTCCAGCATAGCATCCACTGTGTTCCCAATGTATAAATAATTGCATTTTTGTTGCACTTTTCATTCCAATGGATGTCAAAGGTCTTCACGTATGGAAGGGGCACACCATCATCCACCACTGTAGTACAGCCCCCAACTGGCTAGTAACTCGATATATTCATATGTACAGTTCTCGACAGAAATAGGCATTCTTTGTTTGAAGTGGTTATTCCCTAAATTATTTGCCAAAGCTTTGCAAATTAAATTATAGTCCAACACATTTATGCTATTGAATGTTTTTTTTTTAACTGGTTAGTAAATATTTCAGATGATTTGGTCTTAGCTAAGACGTGCTGACAAATAAGTCTAATCTGTCTTGCCATATATAATAGTTTACAATTGTGCTGTTCTGCCTTGAAACTGCATCCTTACAGTATTCATTTTCTAGTTTCTGAGTTTCCTTATTTCTCTTTCAGCTGTATGAGAATTTCGTTAGCGACTTTGAACACAGGTTAGAATTTTTATTCTCTTAATCAGTTGTTATATTCTGACAGTTATGAACTTCCTTCTCCATTGATAGTTGGTTTCCTAACAACAAAACAGCTTCTGTCTCTTTATTTACTTCTTCCTTCTTTTAATTTCCTCTTCTTTGGTTTATTCTAGAATCAATCCGCTGTCACTGGTAGAGATCATTTTGCTGGTGGTGCGTCAGATTTCTGGTAAATTCTAGCATTGTGCAAAATCGGGCTTTATAGGCATTTCTTTTTTATTTTTCTGTTTAATTAATGATCGCACTACAGGCAACTAAAATTCAAACTTAAACGTGTTTTAATGTCATCTGTAATTATTTTAATTTACTTATTCATTACTCTGTTTAGGATCCCATCAGCCTCAAGTTTGGCCTTATATAAATAGACTGTGTGTTTGTTTTTTATGTTGAAATAATTATGAAACACGTTGTGGCTCTAAGTAAAAGAACCTTATATTTATCTTTCTTTTGTAAAATAGAATCTGAAAATGCATTGGTTCTACTGGAAAAAACCAAAGAAAAGGTAAGATTTAAAATAAAAATCTTAATACAAAATGTTAGTCTTCCTGTATTTTTGTCCAGCAGATGTACAGGCTCTCCCTGAAAAATATTCCAATGCAACAATACCAATGCCTGCTTCTAGAAAGCCACTAGTTTTATAACACAATAATCACTTACACACTGCAGTAATTCAGACAAATTAACTCATTAGAAGCTTGGGGGAAACAACAAACAGAAACTGTGGCTCTCCAGGAACAGGATTAAGTATGTCATAGTTTTAGTAACACAATCTTAGTGACATAATTTTAATAATACATCCTGATTCCTATGTAGAGCTTTTTCTGGACAGTCTACTCACAACACTTTATAGGCAATGGGGACTTTCCACTATCACCAACAAAATTTATTACCCACCTTCATGATGCAATGGCAGCCACACATCGGCTATCAGTGGGGAGGAGAACAGAGTAATGAAGCCAATTCATAGATGGGAATTATTAGGAGGCCATGACTGGTAAAGGCCAGGGGAAGATTTGTCAAGGACACTGGTGTTACACCTGTAGTCTTTTTGAGAGACGTCCTGGGATTTTTAATTACCACGGGAGTCAGGACCTCGGTTTTATGTCTTATCTGAAGGACGGCACCTATATTACAATATAGTGTCCCCAACACTATACTGGAGCATTATGACCCACATACATGGTGGGGTGAGTGCTCCCTGCTGGTCCACTAACGCCTCTTCCAGCGGCAACCTAGCTTTCCCAAGAGGACTCCCATGCAAGTACTGGCCAGGCTCACATAGGCTTAGTGAGTTGTCAGTTTTGAGTTGCAGGGTGATAGAATGTTGCATGCAAATAGATTAAGCCAATAAAATGTATTTAACAGCCAAAGCCATCAAGAAATTGTGATAATATAGAATGGATAAATAATTACAAATAAGTAAAGATATTGGAATTTAAGGCAGCAATATGATAAGCACGATTCAAGAATCTCTTGAAGTAAGTTACTGACATCTAGTGGCCAATATCGGAAAATCTTTTTATGACGCATGTTGCTTGAAGGTCATTTTAATCCTTGACAGTTGAATGATTTTAATTTGCACAGCAAGTCAAACCTCTTTTTAACCTCTATATCTAACCCAGATGTTTGCATTTTCAGTAAAAGTTAAAAAAAAGTCTATAGTCAACCTTAGAGACTCATCTGTCCAAACCTTATTCCAGTTTCTGTGGTGTTAAGTGTACTGTCCTAGATGGCACAGTTGTTCACTGGTGAGTTATCCCCAAATGGCACAATGTTATTAAATATTTCTAAAAGAATTATGTTTCTAATATCCTTCCATGAGAATTAAACTCACTAAGAACCTATGACTGCAGTTTTTTTCACTAAAATCTCACTCTCTCATAGGTCAAAAATAACACTGAAGCTGTCATTCTGTGCTTCACAGCAATAGCAGCTATCAAATTAAAAACCGGAGATCTGCCAGCAACCAAAGTAGGTGCAACAACTCCCATGTGTTATGTATGACCCTGTCTTCTTGCTTACTTTAGCATATACATCAGGATTTTGGGTTTTTGTTTAGTTTAGTCAAGTGATTAATTTACTTATGTCAGTGTTCAATGAAATGTTTGTGCAAATGCTACAAAAAGATTCATTTTCTTGGTGAAAACATTGTACAGTAAATTTGTTGCAGTAATAACTGATAGTTTTTTATGCTCAGTGCTGTATATATGCAATAATGTATAACAGTGTTGTATGTTGATTTAAGAAAATGTATATTAGTAATCATACATAAGGAAAGAATATTAATTTAATTATATGTTTGTGCTTCAATTGTTTTAATACCAATGCATGGTATTGCATTCAGACTTTGCTAAGTGCAGGTACTGTAGTAGTAGCAAGATCTGCTTTGATTGAAGGTGTGAAGGTAGTAGTAAGATCTGCTTTGATTAAACTGTTTTTTTTTTATCAGAAAATCCTGAATGAAGTTGAGGAAATGTTGGATAAACTGCCTGGAGTCACCTCCCTTCACAGCCGTTTCTATGACACCTCCAGCAGTTACTACCAAGTCATGGGAGAACATGCTGCTTACTACAGAGAGGCCTTGCGCTACCTAGGCTGTATTGACCTACAGGAGCTTTCAGGTAAAATCTGTGAGCCTAGTTAAGGCCTGTGAATCAGCAGACTTCATGGGCTGCAGCGCTATCTGGTTTTCTGCCCATCAAACAGGTACTTTCCAGACTTTCCAGACTTTCAGCTGTGTATATCTAATTGTTTTTGTCAGATCAATTGAAAGACAGTTTAAGTGGTATTCAAGGGATACCTGCAAGTGGTTTTGAGACCCCGCTGAGACAATATTTAATGTGTGACTTGGTTGTGAAGTGTGTGACCTGGGAGCTCAACTGAGAATGGAAGTAAAATTTAAGTGCCGTGCACTGGGGGTATTTTCTATTCATGGTGAAATTTTGCTGCTCTTTTTCTACTTCCAAATTAAAACCAGATCTAATTATGAACCAAAACAAATACAACTGAATTTTAGCAAATGAGTTATAGAAAAAAAGTGTGAACATGGATGGTTGATCTCTACTCCCTACTTTGCAATGTTATTCCATATTTAGGTGAAAAATTCCTCTTTAATTTCCATGACCATGTTTTTCAGTGGATGCACAGCAACAGAAGGCCTTCACTCTTGGTCTGGCGGCACTTCTTGGCGATGGAGTATATAATTTTGGGGAACTGGTGAGGCTTGATTAGCTGCTTCAAGCTAGACACAGATACAGTTAATTACCAAGGTCGGAAATAGGGTAGAAAACAATAATTGATAACAGATAGTGCTGCTTTATGGCCACTGGAAGCTTTTTATAGAGTGGGCACTTCATTAAATATTGCCTTGGTTGTTATTTTAAAAGTGTTTTGAAAGTTGAGAACTTTAAGACGGCCGTAAAAAAGGCAGCCAGTAAGGCAAATATCAAATATGACCACATTCAAAGATAAAATTGTGCTGTTTTTTAAGCTGATGCACCCCATCTTGGAGTCACTACGGAGCGGGGATAAAAAGTGGCTCATTGACACACTGTACGCATTCAACAGTGGGAATGTGGAGGACTTCTGTGACCTTAAAAGCTTTTGGGGCAATCAGGTAGGAGTGTATTTCAGTTAATAGCAAACATTGCGTAGCACTTGGAGTATCCTGATATGTTCAGTTGCCAAAAAACCTCCAACCCATAACTCAAATTGTGTCAAAAAGACAGAAGCCAAGACAGATTTCAACTGCAGGTTTGGTAGGGACCTCTTTGTGGCATTTGTGTTGTAGATGCAAGTGAATGCCTTCAGCAAAGAGTGAAATGATGCTTGAACTCCTGTATATCGGTGGAAATAGTAGATATTTTGTGTAACATTCCGAGTCACCCTTTCCAGTAAAATTGACATGGTCTGCACAAAAGTGGTGGGACTGTCTGTCTGGCGAACTTAATTAAGCAGTTGCCTGTAAATCCTATAATCACCAATAAGAAAAAGAAACATGCTGACCAATGTCTTAAAAGAACATGGAAATCTTACCTTTAAGAAAAGGCCATTTGTTCCTATTGGTTATTTATCTGTTAGCATCTTAAATATCCAAGAGTCCTGTCTAGCTAGCTAATTTCTCGAATGATCTAAGGGAATCTGCTTCAACTATGTAGTTGGGCATGTATGCTCCTTCATTCCCTCACATACCTTTGTTTAAAGCCTCACCAAAATGTCTTGTGGGACAAACACAGGTTAATTCCACATAAAAAAGAAGAAAGAATGAAAGAGTATGTTTAAGGCAAAGACCTTTGTTCACTGTAAAATAACTAGCTGGTGTTTACCACTAGATGTCAGTAGGTTGCAATATCCATACATTTTCTTACATCCATTCTCTTCATCCAATTCACAGTTGTGTCGGAGTCGGAGCCTATCCCAGCAACCAGTACATGCAAGGCAGGGTACACCCTGGACAAGATGCCAGTCCATCACAGGACACATATACCGACATGCACATCCTCATACCAGGGGCCAGTTAACCTTCCAGTGTGCCACCATGCCACTTAATTTTCAAATCTCACCCATCTTATTTGCCTTCATTAAATGCAGTAGGTTTTATTAACAAAAAAAATAGAAAAAGAAAAAATAACTTAAGTTTTTCACTGAAGTCAAGTTGTATTCTTTATCATACACTGTATGCAAAACTAGTAAAGTTCCTAATCATATATTTATGAGTCTTCTATATCAACTACATCAATGAGACAATCCCATTTCCCTGCAGTTTCTAATTTAGTTTCGACTGACTTATTTAGGCTTTTTATATTTATAACCTTATTTGATAATTTCAATGATTGTTTACTTCATAGGAGCTCACTGTCCTTAACTGACACAGTATGTTTAAATATTTTTTTTCACATCTTCAACTTTAATGGCTCAATTTCATCAGGTGGAATAAATTTAACTAAATGTTTTCCAGGTATTAACTGGAATTAATTGAAAGGTACTGTACGTCTTAAACCTGCAGAACATGCCTATCCCTGTTCTACAGAATGATTACATTTCTCTGATTTGTTTTTCTTTTGGGAGACTGATCTGGCCTTGAATGAGAGCAAACTGATGGAAAAACTACAGCTGCTGTGCCTTATGGAGGTAATGGAAGACTGTTTTTTGAAAGTTTTTGCATGGTGAAAGGATTTAAAAGAAGGTAATTAACAATATACTGTATAACTGTTTCATAATCTGTATGGTATTCCATAAATATTTTGGAGAAACGGATTAACGGCTGTCTTAAATTTCAAGGTAGACAGCACTAAGTAAGATATAGAAGTGCTGTAGTGACGTATAGGATTATAGTACGTCAATAGACAGTTAAAACACCTCTGTGCTCCCCAGATGGTATTTACCAGACCAGCTCATCACCGACAGATTACCTTCCAGGAAATTGCAAAGGAAACCAAGCTGCCCATCACTGAGGTGAGGCTGAAGAGACAGAGAGAGTCTTGAAAAAGGCCATGCTGTTATTTGCTGTTGTTGGTAACCTGTGAAAATCCAAGCACAGTCTACAAAAAATATTCAGTGGTATCATGTTTCAAAGAAATATATTCTGCATCTATAAATGTATCTCCTTCCGTGCCTAACTAAAAACCCAAGGAGAGTAGACCTTGGTGTAAGACATCACAAACATAGATATTACAGACAATATAATTAAGCCTATATACATGTCTCTTCAGGATAAGTGGTTTCTTGAGTGTCACTTCCTTTTGTTGATTTGGTTATGATGTCCCCTTGAACCATATGCCTCTGCAGGTCGAGCTCCTTGTAATGAAAGCCCTGTCTAATGGTCTAGTCAAGGGGAGTATTGATGAAGTTGACAGGAAAGTGCACCTCACTTGGGTTCAGCCTAGAGTAATGGATTTAAAACAGGTAAGTTGCCTAAAGAGACCTTACAAAGAAGAAAAAATACCAAAAATCATTAGAAGAATCATAATTTTCTGATTCCGAAGTTTTTACATTTTCATGTTTTAATTTTTCAATTACTAAATATTGTGGATAAGAAAGAAACACCTTGTGGCACCATAAAGAAAATAAAAATCTGGCAAAAAAGTTGTTTTTTCCTGTAATGGAAAATATCTCTTTTTGGTTTCCTCCTGTAAGTTTCTTTTGGGTAAGGGTTAGGCTCACTTGAAGCCATTTGAATTATTCATTTTGATACTAAGACAGTAGTTCCTATAGTTCCCATAGTTAGGTATATGCATTGAATCATTTACCTTGTTAAAACAGTTATGCATGGAGATATCCTGGCATGCTTTCATCAGTTTTTGTGAAGGATTTTGTCTATTATTGCTCCCTGTTGTCTCATAAGCACATCAAAGAATTTGGAGTGCACTGGGTAATGTAGTATAAATTACACTCTCAAGAACAAGCTCATTGATGACATCACCACACGGCACTTCAGATCTGAAATTAATTTCACAAATGTGTTTTGATCAAAGAGTGTTTTAAGGTGTTTCTGTCCTTAGATTTCTGAAATGAAGGACCGTCTAGAGAATTGGTGCGGGAGCATCAGGAAGACTTCTGTGCTGGTGGAGAACCATGCTCATGAAGTCCTTGGATAAGGGGTGATTGATCACAGATGTTTATGTTAGCAGTGTTCGGTGTTACCAGGAAATAATTAAGGGCTTTTCAGACACCAGTTTATACCGCTGAAGCAGATTAATGTATGTCCTGCTTTTTATTATTAAAGAATTAGATCCAAGCTCTGTCTTTCTGATTATTTGTTTGACGGTGTGCTCATTGTTCCCAGTGCTCCTTTTAAAGGTGTTTGAATTTAGAGTATGTTAAATAAAAACGGCAAGAAAACAACTGAATCTGTTGTGTTGGTTCTTCATTTCTACAGTGAATTTTTCATGGCTTCAAAGTTTAAATACTAATTTATACATTATTTGAATCCATTTGTTGCCCTGGGTTGTGCACTACATTCACATTTCCCACTTCAGCTTGGCAAGATAATTGTCGAATCTGCAAGGTTTAACTTGAAGGTATATGTTTTCAGATGTCAGTGTGAATCCCTAGTCTGACCATAAACACTACAGATTTCAATTGCAAATATTTTTGCATAACCTTGCTACTGTAACTCAGATGAGGAGCATTATTCATAATTTATAGGGTGAATAATTTAGAAAGTTTTTTTTTTCTATCTTATTTACTTTTACAGTTCCAAACATTATGACTGTCATAATACTGGTCAATTTGAAAAGAAAACGGAGTCTTGTGTGGTGTACCCGTGACTTCCACCTGGACATAATGGCCATTGACATTTTATAGGGTTTTTGCTATACAGTAAATATCACAATTCCACTTAATCTTTAAAGCTACATTAAGCTCTGAAAGGTGGGTTGTGTTTGTATGTAATTTATTAGAGATATGATTGTCACAGTCATGCCCGCATAACATGAAAAAACAGTGAACTTATCTCTCTTTTTGTTATTGTGCCTTATCAGCAAAATTTTATTGTGACAGTGCCATGATATTGATACACTTTCACTATGACAAAACATGATGCCAGACTGCCGCCTTCTTAGATCGCCATCTTCTGTGTCAGTGTAAAAAAAAAATGGCTTTTTGGAAAACTTATAAGTATAATTACACATCCTGACGCAGGTACCTACTCAAACTTCTAAGTATAGTTGGGATGAATGACGAGGAACAATATCAGTGTTTCACATTGTCTGCCTCGCTGAATCCTATGATTTTGTACTACATTGAAATACTTCTTTTGTTACTTTTTTATTTGGTTAGAGAAGCTAGGTGTTAGAAAAATAAAGACCCGTGGAAGGGACGTATGAATAGAATCATTCAGAAATAATAAACAAAATTCTTAAAGGCATGAGAATTTTTTTAAATTTCAGCATTTGAATATTTGTGAAACTGACTTTGGTTCTGGCAGCCTATGAAGGTTAATGGCTAAACCAGCCTGTGCTGTAGAATTACAGGCAGCATCTTTGCTTTTGTTGTTTGTTCTTATAAATAAAATAAGTATATACTGTACAATAAACTCTTAAAAGGTGTCTGTTTAATCATTAATTAAGTTTTTCCGCTACACAAAACGAGACGAGCAAAATATCTACATACAGTATATGCTCTCTGGATCTTTTTACTTTTTTTAACAATTGCAATCAACACAGTCAATGAAAATTGATTCTGTGCCTTTTTTACCATAAATTAACTAGCTCTTTATTTCATGTGTTGGATATAAACTGTATAAAATTCACTAAAACATACAAAACAAAATACCCATTGTAAGCAACTGACCCACCATCAATATTTCTGAATTTTAAACTTGTGTATTATTTTATCTTGTTTTATTGTATGTGCATTTTAGTGTATTAAAAAAATGGTTTATAAAAAATGTACTACAGCATGCAAAACACAAATAACATCATGAGCAATTCACCTATCCCTATACCACCTGCTCTACCCATAGGGGGCACCATTGATATACATGCCTATTCAAAGGTGTGCTGTTCAAAAGGTGTTGTTTATTATTTTATATATTTTTTATTTTTCTAAGGTATATTACATAATAGTATTTTTTTCAAAATGCATAAAGCATTGTATCATGTTATGTTCAGTCTTTTATTCTGTTATTCAAACAATGTCAAACCACGATGCAATCACTGTTCAGTAAATGTACTTTTAACTGTTTCAGATTAATGTATTTTACCACTCACTTATACTTATTTTTCTTCTTTTTTGTCCCATTTATATGAATAAATCAAGATTTTTGTTCAGACTATCTACCAGTCTGATTGTACAGACAGAATTTATTTTAGCATATTTTGTCCTTTAAAGCAAAGTTAATTAAACTGAGTGTTAACAGTAATGTACAGTGTCATGATATTAATATTATTCAGTTTCCAGGAGATGAATTGTAAACTATCGACTGTCGTATATAAAACAACTGTAGTAAAGTGTTTACTAGATGAGTAAATAATCACCTTCTTTGAAACGACTACTTTGTTATCTATCATATAAAATGAAAGTCGACGTTTTCTCATTTGGTTTCCTGTCCTAACGTCTAAAAATATGGAAGTTTTGCTGGTGGTCTATAGATGTCGCTGTTTCTGCCATGAAGAAATCTACTTGGGGATCTATTTTACCACAGGAAGTTAATGTTTTTGATCCCGGAAGAAATAATATAATTTCGATATAACATCCAGGTTAACCGGAAGTATAAATCAGTTGAAGAAGTCTGGTATTTTTTTTAGAGACTGGTTTGTATACGGCTATCCAATTAGAGAAGAGCATATAGTATTTACAGTCTGACGAGTGTAATATTGGGAGGTAAGTTAAGCTTCAGATAAGATGAAGTACATATTGTAAAAATATTACAAACTTAATTTGATCATCTGGAACCCCAATATTCTATGTTTTAACCCAATACCTCAATTTAGCTGAAGAGATATCATTAAATATGGCGTCTCAGTGGTTATGCTGATTTACAGCACTGGGCAAATAGTCCGTTTTTAATCTGTATTATATTTGTAGATTATGTATTTATGAAGGATTTAGTTTTTATTGTAATTGGTTAAAATATGTTTTTCTTTTCAGGGATTCAATAGAAGTGGCTCGAGTGAAACGGGGCGGGCGTTGCTCTCAGGTCCGCCATTTTGCTCCGAGAAATTTCTTCCTGCGCTTCACTGGTGGAGGTTTGCGGTACTGCAGTAGGAGTGGTGAAAGGTGGTCTGTAGAGGAAAGGACATGAGGGGAAGGGTTGCTTAATAGTGAATTCAGTATGTCCCAAAAGAAAGCCATTTATTGTACCAAAAGTGAACGCAGTTAATGCTAAAGGCATCCCTGGTGTTATTTTGTGATACAATTCTAAGACGGTAAACACTGATCTTAACTACTCGGTTCACCCTTCTGGCTGTGAGAAACGGAAAACAGCGCTTCTACTGACAAAAGGTTCGCTCTCCCTTAACTTCAACGTAAATCCTACATGATCATGAATAATAACTTTGTGAGATTTTCAGTACCGCTTAAACCTAGCGATAATCTACCGGCATCTTCAAACCAAAGGTAAGACGTGTGTATTTGATTAATATTTTAAATGTATTCGAATCATAATGTTCCTTAGCATTGTATCAGATGAGCAAACGAATATTATTTAGAATATGATCCAGAATAATTGGAACTGCGAGAAATAATGTCCAGATCGTGTGTGGAAATTGAAGAATAAAAATGTGATCAGTGTGTATGTGACTGTCATCGCAATTATGGTGTGAAACGTACTTCTACAAATCTCTAGAGCAACCGCAAAGGTTTTATCGGTAAAGAATTTTCATGTAATTGAAACAAAATACTAAACATAACACTTAATTTCGATCACACATTCAAGACTTACTAAATACCGTTTGTGTATTGACAATTTATCTCCACATTTTGCTGTGTAAAATGTTTTTTAAAGTCACTACAGTAACATGTTTCTTTCGTATTCGATGTTCAAGGACCTACTATTCGCAAAATGATCGTGTTTAGCTGTACGGCCATGGACACTGATGATAAAGATTGATTGATCGCAATTTATTTCTGCTCATTTAAATTCCGTTTTTATATGAGGCAGAAACGTGTTAGTATGACATAAATAAACGCTATGATTTATTTTAAAATGCGCTTGAATAAGCCTAAGAGTTACAGTTATTTACTTTGTTTTTCTTATTTAAAGTAAAGCAAAACTTTGAGATAAAACTCGAGGGTTTAATTTATGAGTGGATTGTATATCAAGTTACATATAAAAAACAGTGTAACTGAGTTTCTCCTGGCTTTATGTAGCTCTTGCATTTACATTTACTGTTAAGTCTTTTTTTCATAGGGTTTCCTAAAACGCTTTACATAAGTTATTGATATTTATCCTGAAAATGAAAACTCAGAGGGCATTACCTTTTTTCAGAGCGGTGAAAAAGACTCTTGCACCATGTGTGTGAACCACAGCAGGGATGCAGAGCTTGGGTTTTAGAACTCTGTGAATCATGCCATCTTTGACCTAAGCAGAATGTTTTTGGCCATACTTTCTGTTGACTTATTCTTTTATACTGCAGTATAGTTTTAACAGTTTTGTATATAACAAGAGCAGTGAAGACAAATCAAACTGTTTGGCAAAAATGACTATCAGACACTATATTTTTCTAAACTATTGTTGCCAGGTTGTGTATTTTTACACTAATTACAACTGAAATTAAAAGATTATACAAATCTCTACACATTTAGAGGTAATTTTCTAAAAGAAATACAAATGTCCATTTTTTCTATTTTATTTAAATTATTATAGTCGGGGTGTGCCCTACTGTCTGTACAATTGAAATCTTAAAGGTCTTTAAATAAATTAAAATATCAGTAAGGGCAGACTAACTTAGTAGACTGATTTTTAAGCAGGCCATCATTTAAATCAAGTTTTTTAATACGGTGTAGTTCTAAGTAGTTTATTTATGAAGACTTATGCCATGTAATTTTCTACATTTTTAATTAATTGTTATTGTTTTATTTTTATTTAATTTTTTATTGTAGTTCATCATTTTGGTGGCAGTTGCATTTGATTGTGCTACATACAAAGTGTGCTCACTATAATACAATCTAATGTTTGGTTTTATGTCATTGTATTGCACAAACGGCTATAATAAAATGGGGGGGGGGGGAGTTCATATTTCCATAATTTGTAAATAGTTCTCTGTTATAAATATACATTTATTTCAATGTATTGTATGATTGACTTTTGCAAGAGAAGTTTAGCTTCTGTACATGGACTTTCTTGTGGTTTCATCTATTGATATTTCTCTTTTTTTTATTTCAGTGTGTCACATGGATATTATCAAGTAATGCCTACCATATGCTCCAATGGGCAAAATATTTTAAAACTGATTCCAGTTCAGAAAGTTGGTGGGCAGTTTCTTCAGATGCAAGCAAAAATTAATTTGTCAAGCACTTATAAAAACAGTGATGCTGAAGCACTTGTGACTACCAACCAACCCGCCATCCGTTTCACCCCTACTACAGTTTCCCCTGGACCAATTGCTATTTTACAACAGACTAGCCCTGGCAAATTCATTCTGAAAAGACAGTCAGATGGGAATGTTTTAGTAAATCCAATTCACGGAATGGGACAAGTCCAGGAGAAAGTTACTTTTGCCACAACATGTTCTCCAGTTCATATTCAGGTTCCAGTAACACCACACAAGCCACAGCAAACCTCTGCTCCAGTGGAAGTGCTTGCTCTAAATTCTACTAAAACACCTTCTGTTTTAAATCTGAAACAGCTTCCCGTCACTGTAAAATCGCCAGTACTCCCTAATGGCCATTGTCTCCAAATCCCTGCTAATGCAGAAGTTAAATCATTTCCAGCCTCTGCTCTTCCCCAGGCAATCAAAAAGAAAATATTACCTCCAACCATTAACTGTAGTGTAGAGGCTTCTGATCCTAGCAAAAACGCTCAGACAGTAATTTATGTGTCACCAGTCAATACTATTAAAACTATGAGTCCAGTCCAGACTATCCCAGTGTCCTCTGCTACAGAAGCACTTACACATTTATTGAAAGTTGCTAAGCACTCAGTTGGTAATGATCCTGTAACAACCACAGCTAAATCTGCTCTGCCGAAAAGTAGTCAAAATACAGCTTCTCCAATCAAATGGGTTGTTCAGGAAAATCCAGATGCACCTGCACCATGCCTTGTTCCTGTAACCACCAAAGACATAACTACTGATATTTTGAAAACACTGACACGAATTGAGAAACAAGGAAAGGATGAACAGAACGTAGCATCAAAATCAACTGTTTCCCAGGATATCCAGCCCAAAGTCACTGCAGGAAAAGATAATGCCTTAGTCATGTGCAATGGAAAACTGTATTTTGTAGCCAAGAAAACATCTGAGTTCAGTAATATCTCCTCTCAGTCACAGAAAGTGAGTGAAAACATTGGTAAGGATTCTTCTGTAGCAAGCCATCAAAATCCACCCTCATCGCAGAACCTGCCTGCTGCTTCAAGTAGGTTACGAACATCAGATTTGCATTGCCAACATATGGAGCCAATTTTGATTAATGATGGTCCAGATGATATTGTTGACTTATGCAATGAAGGATCTCAGGATGAGCCTACACATCAGAAGAATGTAGAAAGTAACAAGGTGCAGTCCCCTGTGAACCAATCTTCTAGAAACGATGATGACGATGACTCAAATGTGATATTTGTGTCCTACATACCACCAAAAACAGCTGTGGAATCAAATAAGGACAGGGAGAGTGTTCCTAGAACTTCACCAAGTGCCTGCAGTAGACCTGAGAAGGTATTTGTATTCTCGTGTCCTATTTGTCATAGAAAAAATATTGTGTACTTTTGTACAGTGTGAACCTTAAAGTTTTTTTTTGTGCTAGTTAATTCTTTGAAAGCTAAAATAATTTATGTTCAGTTCTCATATTCCATATTACTAATGAGGGGGCTCTCAAATCCAGTCATTATTTCCATGTTGTTACAGTCCAATAACACTGATGATATTGAGATGATCTGGCAGATTAGAGATCCCACGTCTAACACCAAATGCCAGATTTAATTGGTTTATTGCCACATATTTGAACAAGTTAGCTGGGCAACTATATCTAAAATGTTCTGTGGGATGTACTCTTATCGTAGTTTTTAAAATGGCATAAATTCACTACAGTGATCAGTTGTAATTTGTTTTGTGGGGATGTATTAACTGCATCTCCCTTCAAGCTTTTTACTTTCATAGAAGCTGATTTTAAAACTGTGTGAATTGACGTGTTTTTTATTATTGATAGTTGTATTGTAAGTGCGAAAGGCCATGTTAGCTCCCTTGGTTTTCTTACAGTCTTTTTTTGTTGTTTTTACAGAGCACTGTGGATTCAGGTCAGCAGCAAAGCATAGGCAATTTCTCAGGAAAACGTAAATGTGAAAGTGATAGCCAACTGAGAAAGCAGTTTGGGATCACATCAGAAATTAAAATCTGTTTGCAAAGAGCTCCTTTGCATGATAAGTTAGTTCGAGATAAGAGTCAACGAAGTCCTTCCACTAGTAAGTGCACATTGGAGGGTATCCGGAAGTTAATCCAGGGATCAAGGATGGAGATGAAAACAAAGAAACATGTAGAGGTAAAGACCAAAAGCTTTTTGAAGGCTGAAGAGTAAATTCAAGGGGTTAATAATTTTAGTTTTCTTTTGTATAATAAATGTACATAGGCTTAGTCATTTAATCTTGTTGTGCTATTTATCATAATCAGTTAGAAAATGTACCTTAGTAAATAATCGTTAACATTTAAATTCCATATTCAACCTGTAAGGTAGAAATAAAAGATGATTACAAAGATGTACATCAAAATCCATTGATGCAATTTATATCATCCAAAACCCCCTCTGCTTAGGGGATTTTCTGGTCAGTCAATGAATATTAAACCAGTGATATCTAGACTATATGACTGAAAATGCACAGCAAATAAGGATTTTATAGATTAAGCCACTAAGGAATCATATCTGTTTTCTGATATTATACTTTTATCACAAAGTTGTAGTTATTGTAGTATGTTTGAATAAGAACTGGTAATAAATTCGAAGTATTTTACAGGTTGTGGTGGTACCTGACCTTGATGCAACCCCAAAAAGGGAGCTTGAAAGCAGCCCATGTGATGAGACCAAGAAAAGGAAACTGGAATTACCTGAAAATATTTCAGGAACTGCCTCTACTTCAGGAGCAAACGCAATAGCTCCTTCAGAAGAAAAATTTGCATCATCAACGAGCACATCTTCTGGTGTACAAAGGCTGGAAAAGAAAGAGGTTCAGTTGGGCAAAGAATCAAACACTTTGAGATCAAGTGAGAGATCAATACTAAATGTAACTAGCTCAGATTCTGAAGTGATATCCAGCGGCATGGCATGTGCAGTGACAAAATGTGACACCTTTTCTCCAATGAAGGCGATATTGCCTGCAATGGCAAATTCTGCAATGGATGAAATCAAAGAGACTGAAGAGCTTGGTCCAGCCTTGAGCAACAGTGTTGCAGAGGTCGCTGGGGTCCAGAATGCAGTGAAGTGTAATAAGCCTCAGGAATCATACACTAACAGTAGCGTAAGAAAGGAAATTCATGCACCAAGTAAGACAGACCCTGTCATGGAAAAAGGAATGCCTAATCTATCATTGTCAAGTGCTATTAGAACGGAGTCAAATTGTATTGAGGCCCTGGTCAACATCAGTTTAGAAGCCGCAGCAGCAAAGAAAAATGTAGCTAAATCATGTGAAAGCTCAGACTGTTCTGTACCGATGGAAACTTGCAGCTTGTCGACCTCTTTTGAAACAACAGTTGAACACTGCACAAGTGATGACCTCTATACCGTAACGCCCATGGACGCAGAGGAAATTGTACGAGATGAGAAAATCAAAAGGTTAAGAGAACTTTTAAAACAGAAGGAAGCCGCTCTGGAAGTGCTGAGGAAGGACATCATAAAACAGCCATAAATGAGATCAATGTGGATCCTTTTTTACAAAATTTCCCGGAACAGTTTCTCTTTATATTAAATGAAAATACGTTTTTTAACTTATTTTTTTGGTGGACGTTCTTTTAAGACTTGTTCCTCTTCATATATTGTGAAAGACGTTATTTATTCATTTTACCAGAAGATAACTTAAAGATGATTTCTTTGTTATAGTACTTATTAGAAAATATGTACTTTAAAAGCAAGTTATTCGTTAAATGGTCACTAAAGCTCCATCAGCTTCCTTTACTCTCAGTATGGTAAAAGTTGTTACCATATATTTTTTATTCTTATTTTAACATGACCGTATTGATTTTCAATTGTCTGGATCTTTGTGCATGTAAAAACTCTTTGAGACTGGTATTTTTTCCAAGGATATTTATTTTTAACTGGCAAATTCATGTGGTCATACATGCCGGCTGTTTGCAGAAATACCGAACAGAGACTCGGCAGGTGGAATGCAGGGAATCCAATGAGCAGAGGACTAAAAATGTGTTTTTTTCTATCCTTGTGCAGAAGATTGGAAAACTGAAATGTGTGCCGTTCGATATTTGTCACATCTTTAGTTTTTTCCAGAGATCTTGTAAGAATCTGCATTAACAAAATATAACTTGGTAGTTTTCAACTCGTGAGTTCAAGAGCCTCAATCCAGTGTGTTTTAAAGATAACTCCAAATTAACAATAAAGATACCACCTTCAAGTCTGATCTGATCTTCTCTGATGTCAGAAGCCAGACATTGCAGTGTAAGGAGTGGAATGGGAGACCGTAAGGAAAAGCAAATTGCTTATTTAGGTGGTGCTGATTGGCCACTAGGTGGCACACTTACGTCCGGACCAGAATTTCTAAACCAATGGTACCATGTTAATGGTAACTAGGGACATTGTGATATATGAGGTGCTAGTCCTTTGAATGAGATGTTAAATCATGACATCCTTTGCAGGACTTTGAACCTCCCAGTGTAATTGACTCAGTTGATCCTTAATTTGTTCTATTAGCCAAGGTGCTTAAGATGAACTGTGTTGCTTATTATTTGGCCAGTAAAGATTCCAGGACACTATTTGTAGTTAACTAGAAGTGGTTAACTGTAATGTCATGGTCAAATATGATCTTTGGCTGGCACAATGTGGCTCACTTAAGGTTGCTTCATAGTTGAAGGTAGCAATATCTCACTTCTCTATGCAATCCTCTGGGTGGTGGGAATCCAGGCTCTTCAGTGGTTGATAAATTGGGACCCCTTAATGTAAAATGGTTTGAGATCCTTTGGGATAAAAAACATGAATAATTTAATAAATTTTTGAATAACACTTCCATGTTGTTTTTTTAAATGTTATTTGTTAAATTATACATTAAGTTTTGCATTGGCAATTTTTCTGTTTTATTTTAACTCAGTGGAAACATACAGTTTCATCAGTTAAATGCTCTTACTGCTACAACCAGTATCCAGCAGAAAGAACATCACACAGCTCCACACAGGAGAATTAGGCACAATTCTTATGGACAATGTTGAATGTTCACTGGCACTTGTAAAGACTGACTTTTTTGCAGAAAACTGAAGGTACCTTAGCCGAACATAAATACACACAACCCAGATTCCTGGTTCTGTGATGCTGCTTGTAGTGTCTAAACTGAGCAGCTGAACCTTGCATTTGAGCAAGTACAGTATCTTTACAAGACAGGGTAAAGTAAAAGAAAAATTGTTAAAACAAACTTGTACTGTTGAGCAATTCCAGTTAGTTTACAGCGAAATTGCCTACAGTTGGGTTGGGTGACAAGTCAAAATCGTCAAGGAAAAATGTACTTTCAGAATTCAATATTCATTTTGCTCTTTGGAATCTACAAATCCACTTTTGTGATTAAACAGAAGATCTTTGTAGGCTGAGGCATCACTTTGTCAATTGCAAGTATGCAATCAAGTCTGTATCATGGGTATAACTTGCAGAGATAAAGGCCATACTGGAATTTCTTTTGTGGGTGCAAGTTTTTTACTATCTACTTGTGTTTGACAAGAGGAAGAAGGATAGTGCAATATTTTTCTCTCAGGTACTGCTAGAGGGTGCTATTTTACCAAAAAGAAATTCATCACATCACTACATCATATTCAGTAATAAACCTGTATATAGAGTGAAGATGTGTTACATATACCCATACACCTTGAACTTTCATCCTATAAGAAAGTGTTTCTTATCCTATGTCCTCTTTGTAGTAAGTATAAATAAGTATTGGAGTGTTATTTAAAAATAGATTATGGGCATTGTGAGTATACACAGGATGTGTCGGTATCGGGGCGGAGCTCTCACTGGAGAGTGACGCGCTGCCCTGGCAACTACAGCTGAGAGTGTGAGTGGTGTAAGACCACGCCAAACATTTGCCTGAGAGAAGCAGGATTCGGTCCCGAGTTGGCTGAGGATGTGGGTGATGTCTCTAATATACGGACGTTCTGTAGTGAGAGAGTCAGGCTGGGGCAGCACAACAGCAGGTCTGAGACGTTGCTGATGCGGGTGCTGTTAGGCGAACATGTCTGCCTTATGACATCGAGATACAGGACAGTGCACTGGCAGGTATAAGTTCAGGCACAGAGAAGCTGCACCAGCACCTGCAATATGAGAAAGCAGAGGTGGCTGGGACAGGGTTCGAGGTGCACCAGCAGCTGCAAGTACACAACCTGGCGTGTTCGAGTAAGATGTCAGTGAGGGACAGTGTGTTCAGTCTCAGCATGAGAATCAGTTGTCAGAAGAGACTCGGAATGTAGTTTGCGTGTGAGACCTGGCCTGGTGGCAGGTGTGGGCACCAGTAGCTGGAGGCAGACAAGGAAGTCCGAGGGCTGACTAATTTAAGAGCCGGTAGCCATCATAGAGTGGAAACAGGAGACTCCTAGCACAGCACCAGATCAGGGTGTAGCTCGTTGAGCCCAGGTAACCACGAGTTAAAGGCTCGGCAAGGCAAGGGTCCCCAAACAAGACTGTGGTGTGGTTGTTGGGGAGACTCTGGGCCTGGAAATCCACAAGTGAAGGACCGAGTTCTCAAGTGAAGGACCGAGTTTCAGTGTATGTAATGCCACATGGCTGGGCTACCCCGAAAATGGGGCCGATGTCAGCACCACTCTCGGCACTTGGGCAAAGGGGGCATGTCTGGAGTGTCCATGCCAAGTCCATCCCAAGAGGCGACACCTAACTCCAGGGTATCACAGTATATAAAGGCAGAAATTTCCAAAGCCAAATAAGGGCTCTGAGGTATATTATAGCAATGGTCCATCTAAATCCCAATTTGTACACATAACTAAACATCCAAAACATATGTATTATTAAAAATAAAAGATAACCCAGAATATGACTCAACAATTAAATCAAGAGTTCCCAACTCCAGTCCTCAGGGTTCAACATCCAACCGGTTTTTAAATTGTACCCAGATCTTGGCTTGGGAGAGGAGTTAAATTGACCCAATTAAGGCATATCTGGACTGATTTATTCCTTCTCCACACACCCTCAGATGTTGTTGATTTAAAGAGACATACTGTAGAAAACCTGATGGATCTGGACCCAGAGTTAGGAACTTTTGGTATGAACTTTTAAGGAAATACTGTTGAGTCATTAGCAGAGAAGCAATGCTATGGCAGATTAAACATTGACTTTCAAATTTGGCTTAACATCTCTGTCACTGCAGATCTTTGTTGTATCATCTTTGACATCTGTCATTTACACTACCTGCTTTCCACCTCTTTTTGTGCTGCAAGACTGGGTATGATCAAGCAACAGACTGGTGAAAAAATCAATTTCTTAAGCTTAAATTGAACCATGAAATAAGCACAAGCCAGAATGGCAAAATAATTCTGCATTTTGATTATTCAAGGACTGTACTAGATGTGGTGTACCAGAGTCCCTGTTCATCACAGTCATGTGCATCAGCTACACAATTTATGAGGCACTTCAGCTGACCTGTGACTAGGTTACTGTTCTTGCCTATTGCTTTTTCAAAACTTAGACATAGACCCATGCCACCTCCACAACTGAAATCCAATCTCCTTTGACCACCTGAATAGGCATCATAGGGTGTTAGGGGAAGTTTCAGTCCTCACATAAGTATAACCATAAACCCTTTTCTCTTTTCAAAAATCTTCTCTGGGAGTATTGTGAACCTTACTAGGAACTTTTCTGTGTACTTGCACTGAGGCAGGGTTTTCTTTCCACAGGCTGACTTCCCCCCATGCCTGGGAGTTTTCCCTGGCTATCTCTTATAACCAAGTAATTTATTACAAGCATTCTCCTTCTGGCCAGTAACAGGGCTTTGAATCCCTAGAACCCAAACTCAACATTTGCAAAACCATAACCTTCCCTTTCCCATTGAGAGAAAACTCTACCCTAGTCTCTTCTGTCCCTTAAGTCTTATTTTACCAGTGATATAATCTTCACCTATATCTTCTCTTGCTCAGATAATCGTGTTTGGTAAGCGACACCCCTCAATCCTGAAATCCCTGACAGTAGCAGTTCGTTTGGCAGTTGCACCTACAGAGGACCAGTTTCTTCAGCCTTCTAACACTACTAACACTCCTCACCATAGAATATTTTTTAAATAAAACATATTAATTATTTACAAGTCAAAGTATGTGTTTTATTGGACAATAGTTTGGGCCTGTGAAGGAGTGAAAAACAGTCTCCCCCCCCCCCAGTACTCTGGTGCATTTGCAATTGTATTTGCATTTGTACGGTCTTCAGTTTGGGAATCTTGAATGCCCCCTGATGTGTCCATTTTCATCCTGTTTTGCCTCTGAAACCGAATGTCTCATCGTTCACAGGACCCAATTTCACCAGGATGACTTATTGTCCTTTCTCCTTAGCCTTTGTATAAGATCATTGGTCCTTTTTCCATTTTCTTTAGCAGTAGCAAATCCCCACTTGCAAACATCCCTTTTCATCCTTTCCCTTAGGTCTACAAGGTCTATCCCCCCTTCAACTCCTTGATTTCTCCCTCCATGTTGTTAAGTATGGAGGTATTCTTTCCATTCCAAAGTCCCTTTTTTGTAATGAACATCAGTAGCCAAAGCAGATACTGTGTCCTTTTGTCCACTACTGTCAGTGCCATTCCCATCATTATACTGTGCCAAGTCAGCACTGTATACTCTTTGAGAAGCTGGTTTATGATATCCAGTCTCCCACTCTGCACTCTTCTTTGGCATAAGGTCCTGTGTTTCCTCAGCTCAGCACAGGCTCTGATGGCAGTGCGGGTTTCTGGTTAGTGATTGCCTGTAGAGGATCTTTCTCGCCGCAAGTCTTTTGTGAATTTCCATCAGTTGAGGTACTTTCGTTTATTGTCCACTTCCTTTGGTTGTGTTATTTACCAGATTTCTCTGGGAATGCTTTATCTCCCTGATGACCAAATCCTCTCTCATATCTTTATTAAGAGATTTACGGTTGTTCCAGAATGCTGCTTTTCTGCTGGCCTGATGTTTCTGGCACCACTTGTCAGCTTGAGTGTCTGGGCACGGTCATTTCTCAGTCTGTGGTCCGGTGTCTGACTACTGGATCAAATGTCTCATCAGTATGGAGAACCACAGCCTGTTAAAGTATGGGAACATAAGCATGAATGGGCTTTGTAATGCCTGGCATGGGTTACAGAATAAGGTGCAGTCCAGATTCAGGGGGAAGTTGGGTATATCTCTCCCTCTGTTTTCTAATGCTTGGTATGTCTGCTTCCTTGTTGATACTCTCTTACCTTCCCAAACGAAAATGACAACCATTTCCTGTAACACTCATCTGAGTCTAGGTTATATAAAGTACACCGCTGCCAGGTATACCAAAGCTAGTAGGATGTCTGCTTTTAACACCATCATTTTTCCTATGAGGGATAATGACCATGTTTCACGGAGACCCAGCTTAGAGTTCACCTTGGCTATTGTCCCCATCCAGTTTGGTTATTTGTTGTCTTGCCTCTAAATAAAAATACCCAGAATATCGAAGAGCTCTGTCATGTGCCTCAGACCTTCTGAGTCTGTGTTTTTGTCTCTCCTAACCATGGAGTATGCCTTAAGAGATAGCTATCCATGCTTCCTCCCATCAGCTTTCCTTCAAACAACCAATCCTTTGTAATCTCCAAGAAATTACTGTTACTCCAAATCAAACATTGTAGTATTTCCTTGGAGAACAAACTGTGGTTCCCTGCATATGATTTCCCTACTAAAACCCATAAACGCATATAACCTGAGACTCCTTTGATGAAGAGATTAACCTAACCAAGAAAGAGACTGTTCTATCTGCTCTGTTACAGGCGGTACACCTCAGATGAATTTCAAGGAAATTATGATGACTTCCAA